TATATAACAGTTAGAGGTGTTGACACAACGACCTCGAGCCTGTGAACCCTTGAGTATTATTCCGGGATCGTGCCTTTTATACTAAACGGTGAGCAACACCAGAAACGAGCGTTCGATTTGCTAAACGATATGCGTCACCCTTTAACATCCATATTTCAAAAAGTACTACCAATAACAATTAGTGATTTAGTAAGAAAATAGATAATTGTTGACTTAACTATAATTTCGTGTCTATGATTTTGCATAGCAACGGAATATAAATCGATAGTGAAATTGAAAAATTGAGGTAGGGGAGAATAAATATAATTATATGATACCATAGTTAGCATAAGCATTACGGAAAATGCAGAAAAAATGTCAAAGGTATTCATCAAGTAGTTTTTGAAAAAAAAACAGTTTTCCTCTCAAATTCGTAAAGAGAACGCGATTCACGAATATTTGGCGAAATTGTATTTATAAGACAGTCAAAAGTGGCTCGATTTTCATGAAATAAAGCATGTTGGTAAGGGAATTCAATCTGTTAAATGATATTTGCCAGACAGACCAATAATGATATGGTATCCACAAAACATTTCTTTAGGCTAGTGTGCTCGAGATTACTTTTACAATTTAAACAATGAGAAAATATGACTAAAGAACATAGGAAAGTCTTTTTTATTCTCACTTTTCAACACTACGCACTGGCGTTTTGGCGTACATTGTTCCTACGCCACTGATGGGTTCATGGTAAACCAATTCTGTTCGTTCTCCAAACACATGATAGTTTCAGATGTTGACATCGGATGATCAAATTATGTTGTTTTTTGGACCATCATGATATGAGCTCATTTTCGAACCATTACATTTTCTAACAAGATGGGGCTCCAAGCAATAGATCCCACAAGAGTGTCAAATGTTTAAAGGAAAACGTATCTAGAATCATCCCCCTTAATCACTGTCTCCCTCAGATCACCCGATCACCCAACGTCTGCGACTACCACTTATGGTGAGAACTAACAGAATTGGTGTACTATAAATCCTTTACATCTATTCAGTCCCTTAAGGACAGAATTATTGAGAAGTGAAATTCATTACATCTCAAAAACATATCAATGATGCTTGTGACCAGTTTAGGCCAAAATTGAGGGCTACAATTGATCAAAATGGTAGACATATTGAGTGTCTGTTTATGTAAATCAAGTTGACAAAAAAACTTGATTCTTGCAAGTTTTGGAAACCTGTTTTGAAACGAAAATGACGTCATTTATATTATGGACGCTGGTTGACGGACATCATAATAAATTTGACCTTATGATATACCAAATTAAAGATAAGTAAATTTCCTATCCACTGGTATATAACATGACATGTTTTCATGAAGAAAATGAATATTTATTTTTGAAATACGAGTGTCCCATTTTTTGGACCACCCTGTATGATGTGTCACCTTAGGGAAAGAGGGGAGACTTCCCAAAATTCAGAGTTGGCATTGGGTATTCATGTGATAGATCCATAGGACAATAAAGGAAATAAGGAGATCGGCTCCCAGGGGCGCAACTCGATATTTTCCCACAATGAAGACGTCAGAATGCCGTTATTTTCTGGCGTTATAGCTGACGCTAACTTCAAAATCAAAAGTATAAGATTCGAACCAATATTGGAAATAAGACCAAAACTCGTGACTCAAATTCTGAAGTGAACAAAATTCTTGCTGATTGAATTCGAATTCTGAAATCCTGACATCAATGAATGGATGAGAAATATATCAATGAAATAAATCCTAAATAGATTTACGCTTGAGGAAATCCATTTGATAAATTGAAAGAAGCGTCCCCTTCCTTCTTAAAATATGGTTCTATAGTTGTCAAATAAATAACACGTTTTGCAAATATATCACATCCTAAGTCAATGTTGATAAATATCCTCATGTCTGCAACCGTTAATGTATTCATGTAACATCAACGATACTAGTATTCAGCTCATTCAACCAGCAACCCCTGTTAAAAGAAAGTGCATCATAATCCAGTGATTTTTACAGAATGGTCTATCAATCAATTCAGCGAGATAATACTGACAGAATGGAACAACAATTTCCGTATATTATATCATTAATACAGATCTTATTATACTACTAATATCTCAATTTGTAATGTCGGGGAAATGAGAAAAACCCAAATGTTACTTAAGCACTATTAATCTTAATTGAGTAATCGAAACCATCCTGAGGACGATCTAGGTACATCATGCTATGAAATAAATAGAGATTATCCAGATTATTCAGGATATTGGAATTATCCCGAGAAAAATATAATATAATATGCCCGAGGGCTGTAGGTCCCAAGGGTAGATATATTATATTGGCCAAGGGATAATCCCAATATCCTGAACCGACTATCGGATGATCTGTTTATCCCATACCATTCTTGGTCATCTGGTTCACCTTGTTCAATTGGCCACAGTTCAACCGTGGAAATATTTTAGAATTTATCTGTTCTTTCGGATATTCCCACATTTATTTTCTGGAATTTTTGATCAACCAGATGCTCCTTCGCTTTTTTAACATGTTTAAACCATCAAACAGATTGCATACGTTTTTCTCCATTGTCGTTTACAGTTATTATGCGAACGTTACAAAAAATTAACCAATATGCGAGCTGCGATTATCACGTAGCGGGCAGATATACTATATCTGCCCGCTCGGAGCGGGCCTTTAAGCTATATTTGCCCGCTGATGAAACTATAGGTTTTTACAAACCTGCTTTATGTACCTGTAACACGTCCAAGCATGGGATAAACGTTTTTATCCCATATTTGGACGTGATTGAGGTACATAAAACAGGCATGTAAATAAAGGATATGAACTGGAGGTTTCGGATATGGGGTATATACAGAGGGATACGAAGAGATTATCCTATATGAGGTTCAGGATATTGGGATTATATTATATATTATATTGGCCAAGGGATAATCCCAATATCCTGAATCGACTATAGGATAATATGTTTATCCCATACCAATCTTGGTCATCTGGTTCACATTGTTCAATCGTGGAAATTTTTAGAATATTCATGTCCAGTTTTGTTTTCTTGGTGGATTTTCATGTTCTCTAAAATATTCCCACATTTATTTTCTCGAATTTTTGATTGATTACGTGGATGCTCCTTCCCTTTTTTAAACCATCAAACAGATCCCGATTATCTGTGTTTTCTCCATTGTCGTTTACAGTCATTACGCGAACGTTACAAATTATGAACAAATATGCGAGCGGCGATTATGAGGTAGCGGGCAGACATGATCACTGTTCGCATGTTGGTGAATGCTTTTTTGGAAAATCGAAATCAAAACCGAAAATAACACTAAAAATACTATTCACATTGTTGTTCGGTCAAATCCTTAAATATACAAAAATAAATTGTGTTATGATATCGGCATGACTTATGGATTTAAATTGTGATAACATTTGTTTGACTGAGGGAGGGGAGGGGGGATTTGCCTGGATGTTGCAGTTTGTTTCATTGTAAGTGATTATGCTTATCCATGTTTATCTCCATGTTCCCCCTTGTCCTACCTACAAGCTACATTTCATAATTTATAGTGGTTTCCGTTTAACTTCATGTTCACGTATCAACAGCTTAACGGCGGCAGTGGAATACCCTTTTCTACCATTATACACGAGCTGTATTACACATATTGACATCTATTAGAAAACGATTCATTATTTTTTTCAAAAGATGCACCGTATGCCAGAGTGAACCATGGTATCATCGTTAAGAAATATAAGTACGACAAGTGCGATGCAAATCAATGATTACATTTTATTTTAACAATTCTATTATAAATCATAAGCGGAAAGTTTACAACTTACTGTTTCATGAGTTTATTATTATCTTCATTTAAAGCAGATATGAAATGGTATTTTTAACCTAAAGGAATCAATATAATTTTTTGATAGATGTATTTGGACATGTTTTCTCATCAGTAGTGTGAAAACTATTTCACTCTAACGATCGTTATAGCTGCTTAATAAGCATTATTCGAATTGGTTGTGACGTTATTGGCCCCCACGTGATCTCTCACTGGCCCCCACGTGGCCCATTTTGGTCCATTAGATCATGACGTCATAATGTCAAAATGTTTTGTTATTTGTTTACACAACAATGCTATGGTTGCCGTGACATTGTGATTACTATGGAACCAATAAACCAAAACTATATTTTGTATATGACGTTACTAATCACGTGGGGGCCAATTTGATTTATCGGTTAGTTTTATTTCGTTATCTATGATCGTTAGCAGTTATCTAACATTTATTTTATAATGGCTATCGCAAGAACTCTACGGTGGGCTTACAATGGAGAAAACCGCATTTTTGTAGCTGCAAGTTGAGAAAAGCTATTTCAGTTGTCCTTTAAACATTTACCAGAAAACAAAAAAAGATACATGTCTGAATTTTAAATGATAGATGTTTGGTCACGATTAGTTTGAATATTAGAGAGTTTAAGCTTGCAATATTAATATTTTTCACAACGTAACCGTGAACGGAGTATATACATCAAGATAGTAATGTGATAGCGCGCATACAAAACAAGCACTACTCCGGATACCCATTCAGCTTTAGAGTTTCGTATTTAGAGCGGGAAAATTTCAAGTTGGTGTCAACGGGAATCGTTTTACTCTTATCTTTTGAATAAAATGTAGGCAATTTTGATTTCGATTTACTGTATAATGTAAATTTTAGTTTATGCAATTATGATATACAGTTTGTCCAGTTTATTACATATCAATTTAGAGATACAGCCATATCTCTTTTCTGCCAATATTCCATTATACTTTGTTCCAGAGCCCGTTTAAATCGCTCAACCCTAGCTGTGTGGATGGCAGACGTCCAGAAAAACTCTATTAATTGGGGTAGGATACCTGCTAGGACAGCTGCGAGAGCTTGTACAATCGTGGACATCTGAGCTTGTCTATTATAAGCCTGAACCACTGATATACTTGAATATAAAAATGATGCGATGATTGTGAGGTACACGCAACAGAGAAAGAGTTGAACTCGAAGAGGACGATACTTCTCAACTAGATGATCAAAAACGTGCCGATACACCCCGGGAATATTCTCACAATGTACGATATATACCACAGTGGTATCGGCCTGCTTTGATTCTTGAATATTCTCCGATATGTGTATGGTTTGGTATAAAAGATCGATATAACCAGCATTGATATGCTTGATCACCTTCAAAACATACAGGAAAATGGCTGTGAACATGATAATGTAAGTGATAGATTCAGATGGAAAGGCAACAATCCCTATAAAGGTAAATGAAATTGTCTGGTAGATATAAGTCATGGAATGAGTATATATTGTGTAGTAGCAAAATAGAATATAAGAGAGGACAAGGAAAATAAGTATCTTCGAGGTCCAAACCAAAATGCAATTGGAGAAAACTTTTTGCTTATTAACTCGTTTCCAAATAAACCTATCCACGCAATATTTAATGTAATTAGCAAACAAACACTTCGTTAAGAACAAAATTGGGACACCATATACTATGATACATGCACCCAGATCGAAGATGACAGCAATGACAGTGACGAGAAAAAGAGGAAATAGCATTATGAAAAATACACATTTTGGGAAGCACTTTGGCTTGCGTCTGACCAAACCACGCAATCTCAGAATCCATGTGTCCAGGAAAAGTTCCCAGAATTTCGGATTGATTAACATGTAAAGTCTCGCTCTCATTGCTGTTGTAAACGTGGACCATCCGACGTCCAGTGAAGTGAACTCAACACCTCCTAATTCTTCAATGGTGACATGGTTGAGGGATTGTAGTAACTTTGATTCGTTAGTATCGCACAACTGTGAACAAAGCAACGATGAAATGTCACTCGGAATGCATATAACTATAACAGCCAGTATAAAAAATAATGTGTATATAACATAGGGACCTCCTAGAAAGTACATCCAGTTACGATTACTTGCCTGAAATCCAAAAGGCATTGCATTAAATCCTACTGGAATATCTTGTTCGATGCGTTGACGTAGACCTCTATATTTATATCTGAAGTAAACAATCATTTTGATGTAAATAAAAACAGGTGCTATGACAATCACGATGAAGATTTTTGACAATGGTACCATACAATATGACTTGATTGATGAACATTTACAAAAGAAGGATTTCAAGACGCTGATGAATGAAATTGGTGGCTCATCTCCGAGAAATAGTATAGGCTCGTGATCATCCCCTTGTTTATCATTTACAGCTAAATCGTCATAATCTCTACGTATGCTGTTAACCCACTTATGAGTTTTGATCTGTTCAGTTCTTTTATCTGACCCATCGTCTAACAAATACAGCAACATTGGGCTATAACACAATAGGAGACCCCCACACACTTGAACGAATGTTAACCAACGGGTTTGTCGATATGTTTCGCTAAATTTAAATGGATTTTCTGGTCCACTACACACAAACCCTGTTGAATCTCTATTAACACCCGCAACATGTACAATGAAGTTCCATAGTTTCGACAACTTGAATTTAACCTCGTAGCACCATAATGTTGTTTCGGTATGCATTGTAGCATTTGTTAAATTGCGTAGCATTACCAATACATCTTCCATTGTGTTTGGCGCTCCCCAAACAGCTTCACAGCCATTTGGACTCACATCAACATTAACATCGAGATAGTCATACGTATACCAAGAAAGAAATCCAAGTGATAAAACATCAAAGTCATATGGATAGAATAGCATGGGATACCCTGCTCCTTCTTCCCCTTTGAAAGTCCATGTAAGGAAATAATCTGGAAACAAGAATGAGTGGTTCCTAGGAATCGATGGTGCTTGAGAAAAATTCAACTTTACATACATGAAGTTAATATTTTTCACATTCACTAATCGTAGAAATTCTTTTGCAGAATCATGAGAAATTTTGAAACTGCACTTTCCTGTTGTTGTTTTGGTCAAGCGATTGTATGTCCATCTTTTACTAACGCTGGTAGCATCACCATTTTGAATAACCGAAAGATCAGCATTTATTCCACTTACAATGATTGTTATCAGAACGACGTCCATCACAGATCTTAAGAATTGAGGCATTCCTTATTCTGTGCTTTATTTCACTTTGAAAAATATCCCGCATTTGATTGAAAAATTTGATAGAACGACCACTTTGTAACGGTGTTGTGGGATTTTAGTTTTTGTTTAAGTTTATCTTTGTTTATCATCATCTCTTCGCTTTATGTTACTTTCAAGTACCATGTAAAGTTAATCATCTTTTTATCATTTTCCTAGTCACTTCCTCATCATTATAAATTGGTTTGAATAAAATTGATCTAATAATGAGCCGAATAATGACTTGTTAAAAATGTTACCAAAAATGTCAATTTATGGTGCAAAATGATAAAAGACACTGGTATTTAAACAGTATACCAAGTCCAACTCCATTCGTGTGTCATTGGGATGAGGCGAACAAGGAAGAAGCAGTCTTGCAAATTCAAAATTTACTTTTATTTAATGAAATATACGTGGTCATATAAGTCAAGTGCTCGACCGTAATTAGTTTTACTTTATAAGTAGTTCTTACATCGTACTAGACTGAAGTCTAGTAAAGGCAGTTGAAAAGTAACATGATAATTTCAATTGACATCGCTTCCCCCACCAATAGAATACCAGGGTATAAGGAAGCGATAGCGGTAAAAGGAAAGACAGACCCATTATCTAAGATTACTCTGGTTGTTTCCTTTTATTTTTGTAGTTTTATTTATAGACTGATATGGAATAGAGGATATCCGTGTTTGTTTCCTCTACGTGGTTCAAAAAATATAATTTGTCGTAACGTTTTCTCATGCACATAGTTACAGGGTGCAACAAAATTAATTTGACTAATTGGTATGATTTGAATTTGTCTCTACATTGTAAACCAGTCTTGCTAACAAATTGTAAGCATGGTCATCTCGAATTAACAGTTTGGGTATCGCCATTGTTTTTCATGATCAAACTGAAATATCGGTTGGAATCTCGCCAAGATCCACTGATTCCCAACTCCCTATGCTAGTCGAGCTCATCTTGCTCTTCTGGACTTTCATTTGCTGTAGCTTCTCCTCCAATATCACATGCTCGAATACGATTACATCGTCCTTAACCATCTCATCAAACAAGTCAGAGACTCTCGAGGAAAGATGAATCAAACGGTGGTCTAAATTATCAACCGGTGTCTTCAGGTCTCTTTGATCATAGATGTTGCTTATATTGTCCACTAAAATAACAAACAACAACAATTATTATCAATCTAAGAGGTTTCATAAACACAACAATATACACATGGGGGTACATACTGATCTACGGTTACATGGTGCAAATGTCTACTAATATTAATAAGAAAATTCTGTAAATATGTGCTTGGTGCAACACTAGGGGATGCGTGAAAAGGTGAGGATAAACGCATTATTAAAAGCGAGGTGAACAACATTTACCAGCTAATTTGCTGTCGTCGGTAGCGTGCATTTGGCACAACGGACAAACATCGAAGGATTTCAAGCTTTTATATGCAAAGCGTTTGGAATGTTTACCTGAAAACATATCAGTCGAAATGAATATTGCAAATTTATTATTGAATTTTTCAAATTATATACATAAGCAAAGCCCAACCTTGAAAATTTCAAATCAGAATAAATCAAACTATTGCTACATTATATCGTTATTAGGATGTTTCGGTTCCAAGCTTCCAAGCTTCCAAGCTAAAACGTTGAGTTATGTCTCATGGCTTTTCTTAGTCAACGGACCGTTTCCTATCTTGACATTTGTAATACTCCACAGTATCTAATTGATCACTTACGTATCTTTTCATCTAGTGTATAAACAGCAACTTTCTTTCCAAACATTTTCGCAAAATCCAAACCAGACCAAGATGTAAACCGCTTCCATATGAAGTCGATGATTTCGTGCTCGTTGGATTGTTTAGAGAGGTCCTCTTTCACCATTTTAAAGCCATCGAGAATAATCGTAAGAAAAATATTCGTCATGACGAAAACCATTAACGCAACAAAACTAAAGAAAAAGAACGGTCCGATGATAATATGGACCCTCGTAAGTGCTTCCAAGTTAAAGTGTCCAAGCAAGATGGAGAACATGGCTTCGAGCGTCCCTATAAAGGAACTATAGTCTACGATATCTGCTCCAAATACCAAGTAAGCCATCTGAGCGTATGCCATGAAGACAATAAGAAACATGAATGCGAATCCACCCATATCTCCGGCTGATGCTTTCAAAGTGGATGCTAGCATTGACATCCTTTTGTTGAATCTTAATATGTGAATCATTTTTATAAATGATAAGTACACCAGCACTCCCATAAGGTAGCCAAATAACTCGTCCCACCAAGCCACCCTTGCGAAATTCTTGAATTTTCCTGTAGATTGAATAAATCAAAAGTTACTCATGGAAATTCAATCTGAACAACCTTCAAATAATTAAACTGTTAAATTCAAAACCAATCGTGACATGAAAATAAGGCTTTTCATATCGTATTTTAGTATTACCTTGGAGGGCCTTAACACTACTCATCATGTATACGGTCATTGCATGTCTTAGGAAATACATCACCATTGCGAGAAATCCAGTGATCAATGTAAATACTTCCATCGTATTCCAAAAGCTTCGGAAATATGCTTTCTTTTGTTGGCGAATATCCTTGACAAGCCTTACCAGGAAAACAAACAGACAAATCACACATAGGATTTCAGACACAAGAACAACGATTGCTGTAGCTCCAATGTAACTGAAAAGCCTGAATGTCTGTATGTTGATCGAGGCGATATTCGAACGGCTTGTCGGCCACTCAGAGAGCATAGTTATCACACTGAATAGGTTAACATTCGCGTTGTAGATCGTGAACTCAACAGATAACATTCTAGTATACTCATCAATCCATTGTGTTTTGCTTGCATCATTTACTGTTGATAGAACTCGACCTAGGCTACCGACAATGTCCAGTACATATCCTCCACCGCCATATACAGTCCATATACCAGGAAACGGTATCCCTTCCAGCTCCATTGAAGATCTGTATATCCATGGTGACCATCTGTCATTACTTATTAGTGTTGCACTTGCATTCCAATTCTCGGCAAAGTCTCCATTTTCCTCGTCGAACCAAGTGTAGTCAACATTGCATTCGGTAGCAAAGTTTTTCAAAAACATATTTGAATGGCAGCGATCTGAAAATGTATGAATTATATATTGCTTTGTTAACATAGTAAAGGGCAGTTTTTGCTAGGAAGTGTATTGGAGGTAGTCACCACATGTAAATATATAAGCACAAGTGCCAAAGGGAAAGGACCAAAAGTTGTAATGGAACTTAGCAAGAAAAAGCAAACTCTAAGTGCATACCAGTCAAGAAAAACAAACCCCATATAGCCCAAAAACATGATCCAACGTGAAAAGAGACAATGTCTAATACCCCCTTTCCCACACCATTCAAGAACCAATATCACAATCCAAGACCAGAAGACCAAGGGACATTTCATTCATACTCACACATACTCACCCGGTTTAACGCGTAGTTGGCGAATGCGCGGAGGACCAACTCTATATGCCACATAATTAGCTGTTATTCTTTTATCGGCTCCTGTAAGTGGGTCGCCATCTGGATAAAGTCCAGGCAATAAGACCTCTTTCACCCAGTCCCAAAACATCTCTGGTCTATTTATCTGACGTATGAAAGAATCAAGTTAGATAAATCAACGTGACGACCAAAGTGTGTGTTATGATCTAGCTTACAACACTGACCATGCATTCATAAGCTTCATTTTCAAGCACACATGCTTTATAAGAATTTGAATATTACCAAGATGAGGCATGCTTTCAGACAAAAGTACTGTGGGATTTAGAGTATCTTACCTTTTCAAAATATGGCTTAGAATAAAAGAATGTTTTCTTGATGTCCTCGTTGGTGTTGTACGACTGATAGTCTCTATTGCTATGTGCCACATAAACTAACAACCCAGTAAAGATGAAGTACAGAGTGATTTCTCTCAAGATAGCATGCATCTTTATTTCATTCAAGCGTAGTTCTCGTGATGCAGCAAGTTGAATCGGATCAGGTTGCGCTATCTTGAGGTCCTTTCTTGACACTGAAAAGTAAAATAATGAGCATTAATTAAAAACCTGTTACAAGTGGAAGTAAAAAACATCTTAGCTCGCTTTGTTATGGGTGTTTTAGCTCCATATTATTATAATGCTGCAAAATATTGCTTTTATATTTGACTACATAAATATGCATGTTGTAAAATATATGAATGCACGTAATTTATTATTTGTGTAAAATTAATACAATCAAATGAGCCACCAACCGGATAGTTACATGTTGTTCTTTCTAATAGGATTACGTTACAGTTTCGCATGATAGCAACGTGATATAAAATTAATTTACTAAACAATAAACAGAACGCAAATCAGTAAGATGTATGTTATTGAAAATAAATTACCCCTTTTAGGCCTCTTAGCAACAAGCTCTTCATCATTCTTTAGTATGTTCCTAATTTCATCTTCCTCTTCATCATCTCCGTCATCTAAGTCAGGTTTCTTGAAGATCAACGCCACGATAATAGCCAGGATGATAATCTTAGTAGGTTGGATCACTGCCGCAGATTCAGTTATCGACAGCAACATTGCCGACAACCACATTTCAGACTTTTCTTTACCCCATTCCAAACTATATAGTATTGTGAAGAATGCTGATGATCCAGTCGATAAGAATACCAGCAACCAAGCAATATAAGCACACCAATGCGGCAACATCTTCTTACGTTTTTTCTTCACCGGTTGGTCGTTCAATTTATTACCAGAATCTGATATATCAGAGACTATCGTTTTGTTGTTGGTTAAGTTTGCAAAGGACGTAATGGATGTTATTCCAGTTGACAGCTTGGAGCCTGGCCTTGGAAATAATTGAGGTAGATCAACTGGTTGCCTTGGAATGTTGTCGGTGCTCACGTGAAGAGTCAATGACGACGGTGAAATGAGGGTTTTAGTATCAGGTAGCTGAAATCGGAGTTTCTTTGTTGTATCATTGTCATATTGTAGTCCAAACCTGGATTGAATCACATTTTCATCGAGTTTCCCAGACAATGGTGATTCATTTCTATCTTCACTCTCAACAACTGATCCTGGTAATGAGACACAAGAAAAGGGTCGATTATCTAGTTCATCTCGAGTATAGTAACCATCGTCTTCCATCATTGTAGGGATATCTACTCCACTATCACTAGAATGGCGGCCAGATTCGGATATATTGTCCTTATCATCAATAATAGCTATATCAGGTTTACGTTTCTGAACTTTTTGTTTACCCCATGCAGTTTGGCTGAGTTTGGAGAGGAAGCCTGCACCATCAAGCTTTGATTCAACCTTAGTCGTGCGGCGTTTGCTACGCCTAAATAGCTGGTCAATTGCAATATTTACAGGAAGAACCACCATGCTACTTACAAAACTGATCCAGATCTGTTTCAATGTGATCCTAATAGGTCCAATCTGCAGACCCACACCAGTTTCTTTCGTTGTTCCTCCTGTTTGATAAAACATGGCATTCGCTACCATTGTTGTGAATATTAGCGACAAAATACAAGAGGATCGTTGGACTCGAGTAAAGTTGCTTTTATTTGGACGTGATAGAACAGACACCCATAAATGAGAATCACTTATACTCTTGCGGGTTGTTGATCCAAAGAGATTGAAAAAGTTAGTCACATCATTGTGTCCTGCAACGGGAACTAGGCGATCAATCAATCCATCATCTTCTTCAACAGCTAGCCATCGTTTACAGAGAAAGAAGAAACTAAAAATGTATAATAGAGCAAATAGAATACGTAAAGTGACATATCCAAATTACACAAACTATGGAAAGTGCCTTTATTAATAAATAATGAAATTGTACACTTATCTTTTTCCCATTTTATATATATGCTTCTGCATTTGTTTGTATCAATCAGATGAATATATCCGTAACACAATTACAGTAGATTCTACATACCATTCCCCGGTTTGGAGATCCTTTACTATAATTCTGTTTAGGTACCATCCTGTAAACTTGCCTTTCCCAGAATTGTCATGCCAAATTCTCAGATATGACAACGGTCCCAAGGGTCCAGGCACACTCATTAGAAAATTGTTAATGCTTCCACGAAGGAATTTCTAAAATGATACGACTCTTCCTTAATTCAATATGCATCCTCGCAAATACAGTATAGTACTGAATTAACCCTTTTAGAATACATAGTGGTCTTCCCATTATATAAAAGCTATTTAGTGATGATAACAAGCTTATAACTGTGTGTTAACCTTTTCTTTCTTCTCATCTGATAGCTCTCGAATTCCAGAATCAGTTTTGTCTCCGGATAAGACAAAACTAATATTCGATTTTGTACCAGCGCCGCTTCTCATACCAGTGTAGACAGTCATCTGATAGAGATATGTATCGGACACAATATTATCAGCTAGAGGCGAGACACCCCACTAAAAATAAAATGAGCAATATATATGTTCGCACAAGTGTCAAAGGGAAGGGCCAAAATTGTAACAGAACCCAGCAAGAATAGGAAAACGTATATGTGCATACCAGTCCCGAGGAAAATAGACTCCAACTATCCCAAACTGTATAATCCAACGTCAAAAGAAACACTTTCTAAAAATCCCTCCCCAACCATTTAAGTTATATTATCACAATCCAGGATCATAACAACAAGGGATATTTCATTCATATTGGAGCCATTGCAATACGTGTTGAAGGATGATTATGAAATGATAACAAATACTATATAACAGAAAAAATAGTTGTATATACTATTATAGTATTCATGCTAGATAGGGGTATTCAGTGTTAAATGCTGAGGGACAGAATTCAGTCTCAAAATCCATAAGTGCATAAAGGGTTCAACATCCAACCGCTAAGCCATCGCAATAATCCATAAAACACAATAGCTCCCTTTCCATAACCAGGGCCTACCTCAAATGGTGCCAAGTAAAATAATTGTGAATTTGATGCAAATATAAAAATTCCAACATCACTGAGCATGTCAAGAGGCAAAGCTTTTCTCATTTATGAAATCCTTAAATTTAGAAAAAAATCTTTTTACAGGTTATTTATTAATCTATTTGTATTAATAAATAAAATATTAATAAATAATCTTTCATCATCCTTATTTCATCTTTATTTTCAAAAGAAAATTTAACAAAGGTCTGCTGAGAGAGAAAGCATTATCAGAACTAGAACTAGTTTAAATGGTGTTCTTCAGCTGGATCATATGAACCGTCGCCGTAGTATGTCGAACAAACATGTAAGCATAAGGTACAACAAGAGTAAAGACCAATGAGTATTACAAAATACATAATTCAGGTACCATCATCATAATCCAAAATCACAAAACCACGAAACATTTCAGTCGTACTGATGTCATTACGATACTTGTCGAAGAACAAACTAAAAAATGAATATATTTTCAATACTTTTGAGTTTCATATTAAAGTCTGTTTAGTTATTTACTTTCCTCTGTTATCCACTTACCTTCGAAATGTCTTGCCTATCCTTCCTTCTTGCCCAAATAATTACACCAAAGTAAAACACAAATATAGTCAAAATTGTTATAAGAACAGCGTTGTTATCCAAGATTCTTTCACCGAAATTGCTGAAGACTGCGTTGAAATCGATACTGTTGGGTGGAACAAAAAAGTCGGCGCCAAATGATGTCAAATGATTGCAGAGACATCGGGTGAAGCGTGTGTTTGAGAGAGGACTAACCTAACAAAATAAATGAGCTGTGTATTATATACATGTCATGCGTAGAAACAGATTTACTCCCCAAAACCACGTGGTCTTCTGTTTAAAATATTTGAATTCGATTCCTGGTTTTATTTTAGGTAGCATTCGTGAATAGAACTGCCGGCATTAAAAATAACAGAAGTATATTGTGCGCATGTCCATGGACGCAAAACATGTTACAATAATGGTACAAAAGTTCACGTGATTACTGTTAGTCGACTGTTAGTTATTTCAACTTCAGAATGATGGATTAATTTTTGCAAATTGATAAGTCGATCTCCAGGTTTCGTTCACTAATGCAAGCTCAACTATTTTAAATCATTTCAAAAGTGTTGATTTTGTTTCATTTTACTATAGAGAAAAATGTTTATGGTGATATATATTATATACGTTTTGAACTTACCTGACACCCATCACTTTTCCATTGTTCATCCAATACATCCCAGAAATGACATCCTCCGCCGACAAACTGAATTGTGTAGTTTGGAAATGGGTCCCGAACATTCTCTTCTACTTCGCCAAGTACAGGAGCATCGTAATCGTATTCTATGTATCCTTCCTCGTTACTTTCATTTGTGCCATTCCCTTTGAAATTTAAAATATTAATAATGACAATCTAAAATCGACATATAACAGTTGGAACATGATACGTAGAAAATATACTATTACCTTTTGGTCTGACCCCAATGTAATAGACTCCTGTTCCTACTGCAGTCAATGCATGTGCAGGTACAAATATAGTGTAGTTAAGTTCGTTCATTACAAGTTCATTTACGCTTGCCGTATCATCAATTCTATGTGGAATGAAAAACTGAAAGTCAAAATCTGTTCCGGTGGGGTAATCATTATATTTCACAAGCACTTCAAATTCGGCATCATCATCATCCGGTTTTATTACCACTTGTAGGGAACTATGATTGGAAGTGATGTTAGTTGAATGGAAATACATTGTGTCGTCATCACCGAGTACAGGAATGACATGCTCTATTACATTGTCATGCTGGGGTAGCACTATATCAATAACAAATGGTTCTGTTGTGTTCTTCACCACCAGTTCGTCGCCATTATCATCAACAAGTACCAAACTTAGTATTGGTGATTTCACAGAGCTTGAACTATCATCCCAGATGTAGGGATTAATTTTTGCTGCAAACACCTGAAAATGTAACATAGCAAACACTATTTCAGAACGAGAATATGTCTATTCAACAAATATCTATAATTTCAATTGCTACATTTGATTTTTATATAAGGGGAATTAAACTCATCAGTTGAATATATATTTTAATTGAAAACCTTGTTATCATGGTTACCTCACCTTAGTGTCAATGTACGACAACGATGATGAAGATTCATTTCCAACTATAGCATTTGCATTGGGCATTGTGAAACCACCACTGTTTACAGTGACTTTCTTGTTGCTTAAGTCACTAACGCTCTCCCTCGAAGCAGTGATTGAAAACATATTTGTATTGAATACTGCCGGCTCCTCCCCAACACCCATACTTCCAAGCCACATATCCATGATCTTGTTTGTTGCAAGCATTGTCTTCTCGGTAAATTTTTTGGCCTATATACAATCATTTATTTGTCATGATTATCATTAAACAATTGACGTAATTCATCAATAACTGTTATGAAAATAACGGAGTCTCAAATAAAATACACATAAATTGGGTTGATGCAGTGCCTTGTCGTTATATAAATGACGTACCTTCTGTCTAGCTGCATCTTTCACAGTTTCTTGATCTACCTGCGGTTGTTCAACTTGGGGCTGTTCTACTGTAGAACCATTGTGTTGTTGTAATGGTTCACTAGCCTCGTTGATCCTCCTTCCCTCCATGAGATCAGCTGTGACAGCCTCTGTTGCTGATTCAAGGGCATTGCCCAAACATGCTATAATATCTGAAGGATACACCCTATACATATTATAACAGGACAAAGGCGTTCTAGCACTGATTGGCATATAATATTCTTTAATATATACGTATACATTGTCAATTTATTTCATCATATTCATTTTTCTACAAAAATGGTTTGGTATTATCTCAAATCTTATTTTACACTACTCCTAATCCTTACCATGACTGCCCTTGGCATGCTTCATAGAATTTGCAACTGTAATTGTTTCGAAAATACTTATTTTGTGCAATTTTGGCGTGACCATTTGTGTTTTCTCCTCACACCTTACAAAATGACCATTCTCCTTCCATAAAACACAGTCGAACATGGCAAGTGCACAAATAAACGACATGACATTTAAAATAGTGTTCAACTTTACATTCTTTGTCTCTAACTCAACATTTACTAGACACCTACCTTGTGCAGCTCCATATTGTTGCTCTGTGGTCGCTGTAGACTGTTGTGTGTCAACCAAAGAAGTGAATGTTTCTGTCATGAAACTCATCGCATCTAAAGTCATATCCTGAAATTTTATCAGGTTAAGTATGGAATTACATGACATTGAAATTTACTTATAAAATCGTGTTTGAAATATATTAAATACCTGCGATTTGTCAGTGAGCTCATCTGTTTCGTGTGTGATAAACTTTAGAGCCATTGCTGTCTGTTGAAGAGCGTCGATAGTGTTTATCTCCGCAGCCGTTATAACAGAGATGACCGTTTCACGAATCTGGCAATGTATAGAGTTAATATGCGTATTATAATCGCTGGGCCACTGATAACTTGCATCATATTACTATTAAGCTGTCCATCGGGACATCTCCTCATAGACCGTTCAACCTTCGGGCATTATATTTGATCAACATACTAAGTGGATCAATCGTTATTCTACCAAGGTCAGAGGTCATTCCAAGGTCAATATCTAGGTATTTGGTTTTTTAAGGAATATGGATCCATGATTAGGAGATCTGAAGCCAAAGGCAACTTCTATGTGTCAAACTCGAACTGGTAAATTGCTAGTTATCATAATAAAACTGCAGAATATTTATCAGTGTGTTTCACCGTTTCTATGTTAACAGCATTTATACATTGTCATCTTTACAATCATTAGTGTATACTACACAGTGGTAAGAAAAAACGTTTTACTAACCGACCTGTTGCGTCTTATAAGTGATTCACATAATGTGAATAAATTCTTAAGCGTATTTTTAGATTTACTAATTAAAATATAATTTTTCATAATCAAATATTTGACACGCACTTCCATTCGACGAAGTTTTTCTTCTTCCAGTCGCTTTCGTTCTGCCTCACGTCCCTCTGCGCTCATTGTAGTAAAAATGGCATTTGTTTTTGTGGAAAATGTCCAACTTGATTCTAAAAGAGTGGTCCACGTATCCATCTGCTTGGTGAAGTCCAAATCTTGGCTGGGTGTAACTCTAGAAGCCATCGATGGAGGTACAGTTGTGGTGTGGGTGGTTGTAGTTGACGGAGACAATGGCTTTTCAATGAAGGATGCACTGTTGAATACCTTTAATATAACCAAAGTGCCATTATTGTACATGGAAATAATATCTGGTATGTAAAACTATATGTTAAATAAATGTTATCATATGAGCATAAAACATGTCAGGGAATATAAATATGTGAACTGTGAATGTGAACAGCATATCCTAGCATGACAAATACATACATCGACAAACAAGAAAAATAACAATAAGTGAATTATCGTATTGTTGGAGTTGATCAAAACATGTTTAAGTTAAAACAGCGTGCAATAAAGATAAAACTGTGAAAATAAATTTAACTTGCAATAATTGTACAGATCGATATACTTCTTTACGAAGAAGCGTATACATCATGCCTTTAATCTGAAAACGATGACTTTTGACATGCATAATCAAAAGTGATCAAAATGTATATTATAACAATAATAATGTAACTACCATGCAAAATGTAAAATTACTTCAATTTGGGCATCCTAAATTTCTTATAATCTTACCATAGACAGAGTTTCTCGCAGCAAGTTCTACTCAAAAACCAGAAACGAAAGCATTTACAAAACGTGGAACTATATGTTAATGTATCAAATGCATATTTACTAAAAGCAATATTATGTGCATCATCAACGAGAATCTAATCATCTTGGTTTTCTGATTTTTTGATTCATTCAAAGCGTGACTGGGAAGCGTGCAGTAAGTTTTACTTAAGTCTCTGATTGTGATTTAGATGTATATTGTCAACTATTACTCTAAGTGGTGAATTTGGGATATATTGGGGGATTCGCATTGAGTAATTACTCAAATGTAAACACTCAATGTATACTAACATGTTATCATCATTACGTTTCTATATCTACAAGTCTAATCCACTCAAAATAGACAGACATATCACACACGTCATGGATTACAAAGAAATCTCACCATAGTCCCAGGAGAATCATTCATGAGGGAGGCAAGAGCAACTACAAACTGTGTTGCCTCTTGGGTCTTTCCAGTGTCAATCATTTCTGAGAATTCTGTCGCATTCCCTACGGTGAGACTCAGAATACTATCTAAGTCTATGGTTGGGGGCTTTTCGACCTTATAAACAATACGAAAAATGCATATACCCTCTGTAAAGAACAAAAGGTGCAATGTCCTTTCCCAATCATATATCTTTTTATTTTTTATTGTTACCATACCAAACCTTCAGAGGTGTAATACCATATATGGTATACATATGGTATATGAATATGAATACTTTGACCAAATGGAGAAAGGGAGGAGGGAAATTAGTGCAACAGATTTCGGATAGTCATATGTTGGATTTTGGCTATTCTCTGAGGATTTAAACAGGTGCATATGTTAGAAAAATAGCTGAAAGCAATGGATTGCATGAGTTTTCCCTATGGGAAAATAACATGGGAAATATTGTTTTCCACTTTATCTAAAATGAATCACTTATTCCTTTAAAGGTGTTAACTGTGTGTCAAAACGCAATATATTTATTCAAGAAAAAATATAAAAACCGGAGTGGAAGGGGTTGAAAATCAGGAAACCATATCAGAAATAACATGTGGGTGGGTTGTTTGCATGTACCCTGTCTCAAAGTCGAAATTATTTTATCATCTCTAGAAGTGCTTTTCCTGGAGGAAATGGATTGGCATAACACATGCACCTGTTTAAATTCTCAGAAAATAGCCAAATCCAACATATGACTGTCCGAAATCTGTTGCGCTAATTTCCCTCCTACTTTCAAAGAATATCGTAAATATAGTAAAATGTTGGATTGAATATAACAACTCCCAAAATCGTGAGTCTTTTACCATAAATTGACGTCAAAAATTTGTGAAATCTAAAACCCAGCAATGTGCTCGAGAAGAAGATTTTCTGAGACATGAACTTAAATTGTTAGTTACATTTAGAGGAATACACCATGTTAAGTCTTCGATCCAATAAAACTTTGTGAAAAATATCAGTTATAGAATAAAAGTCTGATTAATTACAACCATTTTAGTGGTAGAATTTGAGGTAATATTCTTCAGATTCAAAGGTCTCTTCTCAGTTCAGAATTAGGGGTAGGGGTAACATTTATTACAAACAGGATCTTAAGAGGTTCTGGACAAATCATTTGATTCTGGACTTGTCATATTTTTTTTCAACAAAATCACATCCAAGGGTTGAATTTTTATTAGCTATTTAGAGAGTGAGTCCTGCCTAGTATTAATTTCAATAAAAAAGTTAAAATAGAGAGAGTCAATCTAATACTTACATTACATTGATAAATTAAGGCAAATCCTGAAATATTTTTAAAGTGCATTTTTTTATGAAATATTATCCAGCAAGTATTTAAATGAAACGGTCTTATTTAAATACAAATCATAACATGATGATATTTTTCATGAAACATTTTTCAATGAAATTCAATTGAAGGGTCAAGATAAAACGAGCTAATTTAGGTGAAAACCCTTACATGATGATGTGTTTTCATAACTTCTTTCATAAAATTCCATCAAGGGGTGAAGATAAAATGATCGAATTTAAGTGATTTAAGGATCACGAGAATATGTTTTCTTTGATATTTTCTATGAAATCCCATCCAATGGTCAAGGTAAAATTTTGAATTTGATTTTGATTTGGTCACGTGTTCGAAAGATCCATATAAGGCCCATAGAACCATATAGGAACGTCATTTTGAATGTCACGTGATAGATCCATATAAGGCTTTTAGAACCATTTATGGAAAGATGAGGGAAGCCCCTGACACCTGTTTCACGATTTTTATGCACTTCATTATTGTACCGAAGTTTGCCGATTCGATTCGTCGCATTTCGGAATCCTGGTGACAATTTTATACTCCATTGGAGTATTTTTGACCTACTTCTTATGACGGAAATTCCCGAACCTTGTTCGGATTAATCCGGATTTTCTGACCTACCTTATCTACCGAGATTTCACGAGTTAACATTCGTCTCATTCCGGAATCCTGGTGACAATTTCATACTCCATTGGAGTATTTTTGATCTACTTTTTCTGGATTTTGCCCTACTTATTATATCTTGACAACAAGCAAATCAAAAAGTTCGACATGAACGGGTCTCGATCAACTAACCTAGACTATGGAAGCCAGGCACGCTAACCATTAGGCCAACGAGCTACCGATATGAAAGAACAAAAGTATTATATATTTATACCGAGCGTCAATTCAAAATGATCCTCACTTTTGTCTCCACTTAAATACGACTCGTCAGTTGTATCCAGAATAGTAGAACGCCAATGGCGCTAGTGAATAAGTCCCAGGTGAGTGGTTCGTATCCCTCCGTGATATACTATTTTTGTTTTATTAAATACGACAGAAAGTAGCAAGGTGTAGGTTGAAAACAAGACGTTAGTTTGTTTCAAAACAGTTTGGAAACATTAATCTCTGATAATTTAAGGTTTTCCACTCCTTAAGGGCCTCTAGATCTATGAAATTCAATAATCCACTCAGTAAAAATACGATTTCTCTGCAACCTGATGTCCAATCAAGATCATTCAAATATATATGTGTTCCTGACACGTTTGGGCGTCCGGGAATAAAATTGCTTGTGAAAACTATTTACAAAAGTGTTCCAGAGACCCTTATCTACTTGGCTAAGGTTTTATTTGAAGATACATTGCCTTATTAGCAGGTAGAGGGGCATACAGAACACAGAAGCAAATGCTATGATGAAAATTTTCTATATTTCAATTTGAACCTGTGTTTACATGTCACGTAGGCCAGTGTTTTATATGGGGATTATATGTACTTTCCTTGTTTACATGAACGTAAATCATTACATGAAATCTGCGTTCTTCTGGGTTTAATCTGGGTTTGTATTGTCTTATTGGGGCTTTTCGACTTTAAAACAAACCCTACCTAAATGGATTGTGTCTCGGGAACGTTTTTGTAAATAGTTATTATAAACAATTCTGAAAGAATATCACATATTTTTGTCTTCCCGATTTCAGTCATGAATTACGTCAATTTCTCGTGCAAACATTGGGTAGACGTTGTCATAACCGGATGCCCGAACGTGTCAGGAACATATAGATACTCGAATGATGTTGATTGAACATCAGGGTTGAGAGAAATCGTAATTTTACTGAGTGGCTTCACGAAAAAATAAGCAGCACTTTAGGCCACCTAAATACAACTCGTCAGTTGTATCCAGTTGAAATCCCAGCGTAATGTTTTTAATTATATGGTTGTGCTTTGATTTTACGCTGAAAACATTTATAACTACGTCAACTTTATATTAAAACATTTATTATCTTTTCAGTTGTATTAAAATGTAAAATATGATATATGTCAGCTTATTGCTTTCTGGAGAACAGTCAAGGTTTAAATTTGGTACAATGAATCGGACACTCATGTAAATCGACATGGTTATAACATTGAACTCAATGCAGTAAATTAGTTATTTCTATGAATCACAGCGGGATTGGTTTCATTTTATATGATTGCCAACTCTGGCGGTTTTTTTGTAAATGCTTTTGACCGCTGTAAATGTGAAACTGATACAGTATTATTCAATTGTTTTATGTCTTGGTCACATTTGCTCCGATTTTCACTACGGCGCCCGGCCGATTGAGTATTGTGTTCAGAAATGTATTCAATTTTGAACAAAATACTCGCAGCAAATGTGATCCAGGCATTACACAGCGGTATTTCGAACATACTATTGTTGCTTAACCACGACCTAGCCAATTTTAAAATCATACTCCTTATTTAAATCTGCAAGTAAACGATCAATGTCTAGGTATTTGGCGTTTGATGATACTATGGCCCTTGGCGAATTATGATTAGATGAACCGAGGTCAACATTAATGTTTCTTGTACAAGGTCATCCCAAGGTCTAAGATAAATATTTAGGTATTTTACGTTTCAAGACCTTTGGACAAATTCGATTCAACGATGTATTAAAGTTAAAATGTATACAGAGATAAAATAGGTTATCTCCTATCGTTTCCTTGTGTATATGTTTATGTCTCTGCGTAATAACGCAGATGCGAGCAGGTAGTTACCAATCTCACCACAAGGTGACTCGTTCGGGTCAGATAGCATGGCGGGTATGGTAGAAAGTTCCCTTTAACTTAAAGTACATCTGTTTTCGTGGTTCAATTTTCATATCACCCTTAAAATGTATCTAATAGCAATGCAATTAAAATATGTCCAGTGAACGAAAATGCAATACAAGAATAGATATTTCACTTTTTGTGATTTTGTAACAATGGGGTTATTTTTTGTTTGTGTAACATGGTCATTTTCACATTTTATATTATTACTGTTCATATTAATCAATCCCTATTCATCTCAATATAACAGGTCCCTAAGTAGGTTGTTTGCAGTTTTACTCTTTTAAACCTTGAGTTATTCAACTATGCAAACTGTGTCAGTTTTATATATCTATTGTTCCCCTATATGGTCTTTCTCACTCACATGTAGCTGAGTTTGCATTGGGTGTTGGCTTGTCAGTAGTTGCTGTAAGAGTTCATGTTGTACATTACAGAGCATTGTATTTTAAACATTGAAGTTTGAAATATACTATTTTATATATATTTTAATTTGAAGTTCGAGTTATTTTATTGCCACACACGGGCCTTCGACACGCCCATTTACATATAACGCTTTGAAACAACTTTAAAAAGTGAGCAATGTCAGTGTTGTGATAATAGAGAATTTTCGTTATAAGTTGTTTCAAAAACTTATACGTATACTTATAGTTTAAAGGGTCTTGTCGAACTAAAATCAATTCAAATTGATTTTCATAATCTGTACCAAGTGGGGCATAACTATTCCCGATATAGTCCAGCTTCATCATCAACTAGGGACTGCGAATACAATGTCCTTTGCTAGTGTCAATTATGAACACGATAAACTAAATTCTAGTTGACGGGTCCTTGTAGTGTACGATAAACAAGACCCTTTAAAGTGAATCACTACACGAACGAGTCGATCATTTCAAAGTTCTCATGAAATTATAAGGTCAATTTTTAAGTTTTTACGTATAAAAGGGCCTTTATACGCAGATTATAAACTTACAGAGTTGGATCTCTGCATAGTATATGTATGGACCTACTGACCAGAATGGCTTATTAAAATTAATCGGCTGAATAGGCATAGTATCCAATCAAATAGCTCGACTCATTCATTAGCTGAACTAATTCTCCCTTCGTTATTTCTACAAGGTGATTCAAAACGATCATCTACAAAAAATATATTTGAGAGTAGATAAATCTGTAAAACCCGTGTGCTATATCAGCCTATTTGATTCTAGAAAACACATATGACACAACGAAACATGCTTTACATCAAGGGGGTACGGATGGTATGCCATTGGCCCTTTTTATTACCGTCCTAGGAGATATTTCCCGACGAATTAGGAAATTATGAAACACCTTGTTTATTGGGTTTATAAGTATAAGTATACGTATAAGTTTTTAAAAAACTTATAACGAAAATTCTCTAATAACGCCCCTCATACCTATTTATTACAGGTCGTGTAGACCATTGTTGCCTGATTTATAGCAAAAACATTGACTTTTGCACGTTGATGATGATGATGATGATGATGATGCGCCTTTTATAATAGATCTCATATCTTAGAAGCGTATCAGTTCAAAAAATACTAGAAGACCTTACATATTTTGCCATGCACTGCGCCTATTCATTTGGCAATTCAGTTGTAAATTTTACCTTGAAAAAAATAAATCTTCCAAATTTGTTGAGTTTTCTTGCAGAAATCGCCTACCCCCCCCCCCCTCCATCCATTTTGTATGATCACAAGGCGTGATTTAAGATGCTGATATTCTTCTTTAAACGAGTCGGATTTTCAAAATCTATAAGTTGGACTCCCTTCATAGAAGCTTTGAACTGAATTTGCACTGCTTAATGCTGAAATTTTATTGTTTATCCATACATTTTAAGAAAAAATGTATAAAAAAAGATGTTAAAGCCAAATGTTGCCCTAAAAATTCAGAAAATGTAAAAAATTTCGAATTTTCTATGTACAGGCCTTGTTGCCCCTTTAAGGAGCTTAATATGTAAATTATCTAATCAAACACTTCGTCCACCATTTTGAAACACTAATCAATCCAATCTGTGCTAGCGATTCATAGGGCGAGCCAGTGGGATATTTCCAGGGTTCATACACACCTGGAAATGTCAGGGAAATTGACTTGATTTTCCAAGTGCTGGAAATGTCAGGTAATTTTAAAATTAGGTCAAAAGGGCCAAAGATGACCGGGAATTTTGAAACGGTAGACATGTCAGGGAAATGTCAGGGAAATGTCAGGGAAATTTGTATCAGTGTTGAAAAAATAATGTTCCAGAGATTAATGTTTCCAAACTGTTTTGAAACAAACTAACGTCTTGTTTTCAACCTACACCTTGCTCCTTTCTGTCGTATTTAATAAAACAAAAATAGTATATCATGGAGGGATACGAACCACTCACCTGGGACTTGGTTATTCACTAGCGCCATAGGCGTTCTACTATTCTGGATACAACTGACGAGTCGTATTTAAGTGGAGACAAAAGTGAGGATCATTTTGAATTGACGCTCGGTATAAATATATAATACTTTTGTTCTTTCATATCGGTAGCTCGTTGGTCTCATGGTTAGCGTGCCTGGCTTCCATAGTCTAGGTTAGTTGATCGAGACCCGTTCATGTCGAACTTTTTGATTTGCTTGTTGTCAAGATATAATAAGTAGGGCAAAATCCAGAAAAAGTAGATCAAAAATACTCCAATGGAGTATAAAATTCCAGGACCAGGACCAGGATTCCGGAATGAGACGAATGTTAACTCGTGAAATCTCGGTAGATAAAGTAGGTCAGAAAATACGGATTAATCCGAACAAGGTTCGGGAATTTCCGTCATAAGAAGTAGGTCAAAAATACTCCAATGGAGTATAAAATTGTCACCAGGATTCCGAAATACGACGAATCGAATCGGCAAACTTCGGTACAATAATGAAGTGCATAAAAATCGTGAAACAGGTGTCAGGGGCTTCCCTCATCTTTCCATAAATGGTTCTAAAAGCCTTATATGGATCTATCACGTGACATTCAAAATGACGTTCCTATATGGTTCTATGGGCCTTATATGGATCTTTCGAACACGTGACCAAATCAAATTCAAAATTTTACCTTGACCATTGGATGGGATTTCATAGAAAATATCAAAGAAAACATATTCTCGTGATCCTTAAATCACTTAAATTCGATCATTTTATCTTCACCCCTTGATGGAATTTTATGAAAGAAGTTATGAAAACACATCATCATGTAAGGGTTTTCACCTAAATTAGCTCGTTTTATCTTGACCCTTCAATTGAATTTCATTGAAAAATGTTTCATGAAAAATATCATGTTATGATTTGTATTTAAATAAGACCGTTTCATTTAAATACTTGCTGGATAATATTTCATTAAAAAACGCACTTTAAAAATATTTCAGGATTTGCCTTAATTTATCAAATTAATGTAATGTAAGTATTAGATTGACTCTCAAATAGGGTTCTATTTTAACTTTTTTATTGAAATTAATACTAGGCAGGACTCACTCTCTAAATAGCTAATAAAAATTCAACCCTTGGATGTGATTTTGTTGAAAATAAAATATGACAAGTCCAGAATCAAATGATTTGTCCAGAACCTCTTAAGATCCTGTTTACAATTAACTTGAAATGGTAAGATAATTATAACCCTCAATCTTTCTCAAGGACGCATAAATATGGTTTCATCCTATACTTAGCTTATGCATACCGAAATTGATGTCAGATCAGATATGTGATATATAGATGTATTTTTTGAGCAAAGTGGTTACATCATATCCCTAATTTCACTGCTATTAGACGGGTTTTGGCATTTCCATAATTTTCTGTCAGTGTGTCAATGTTTATTTCAAACCTGTCAGTTATGACCAGTTTGGGACGGGCTTTACTATGGTATGAATAATATAACATTTAGAAAAGTATGTCCTAGGCTGAGAGGAAATGTATTACACTATATAATAGCAAATTGTAATGTATGACGTAATTTAAAGGAAAGTGTCACATTAGTGAGTTTGTGAGACAACGTGTTTAACCATTGCTAATTTTCATTTCATTTTTTTTAAATTTCCTCCAGTTATTCATAATAGTTATGTCATGTGTTTCCAAGAGTTTAGTAATATTATACAAAATTTGGAAAATGTTATGACTGATAAAGGACCATATGCACCTTTCTTTCTTTACAGAGGGTATATGAATGTTATATGGTGATGTGTACATGTGCAATAAAACAAAACTGATCAAAAAAGTAAAACATCAAGCATATTCGTAACGAAAGATTTTGCAACGATTATGCTTATAAAGTACATGATCTATATTTGATTATACCTCTAAATACATATTCTGTAACAGTAAATATAGTTCGCATTTTTATTCTCAAGTTTAACATTAAACAAGAATATAAAAAGGACTATCTGAAGCAAAAACTTACTTTTACTTCTAGCCATTTTTCGACATATTCACCAATTGGGTTTGCTATTCGCACAGTTATATCTACGATATATTGGTGCTCCATTCTGCCCTGGGGAAGTTGACACTCTGGTGTAAACGGATCGATGCCATAGTACAAAAGCTGACTTTCGGAGGCACCTCTAGGAGTTGCCCAAAATCTAAATAGGTAAACATATGGCATATATATATGCATATGGTTGATGCACTATGATAATCAAATTAAACATTATTATATGTATAAAGCAGGTGTCTTCAAATAATTTGTAATAATTGTTATGTATACAGTGTTACTCTAATAACTCAACAATACAACTTTATACCTGTATATCAGACCAGCGCCATACATGTCCTCTTCTCCATGGTTTAACCAGCCTGAACAAACTATGACAAATTTGGTATCCAGCGCATAGCCTAGTGTTTAAGACAACCAAAACATATGTTTAACAAAGTATCTTTATTCTTTTATTTAAAATTCTAAATGATATAAGTTTTGGTGGGTGGTATTTCCAACTATTTTGAGGATCAACGCCAAAAAAGTCGGCTGATACTCCTTACCTTCTTTAAGGTTCATATCACACGACCCTCCATATGGTGGCTGATTTGTTACAAAGTGGTACTCCGTGAATGAATCGGTATAACCATGCAAGCGACCGACAAGCCTCAGATTGTAGCTTTGACCGGGAATTAGCACGCTTTTCTTGAAAGCCAGGCTGGATCCTATTGCACCTTAAACATAACAATAATTGGACAATTATGAGGGTGGTGACTTGTTTCTATGATGAGCTTGTTTATTGGTAGGTCATAAAAAAGGTTTTGTTCACTACTTCCTGATATACTAAAATCATAAAAATCATTATCTTTAAGGACCGGGTTAATACTTGAATGTCCGCAAAAACGTAATTAATTAAGATTTACCCCCCCCCCACCCACTCCCTCTAATGTGGTATGAAAAGGAAATTATGTTTTATGACGGACATTGATATATTGACCCCGGACACTGAATTGATATCAATATCTATTTTAATTATTCTGTTCTAATATTAATTAAAGCCAACTTGTAATATATAATCATGCTATTAAAAAATGTATGATATCATATACTACCTACCTCCTCGGCCAAAGCTTCATATAATGTGAGATTTTGTTTTCTAGAATGGTCGGGCGGGCTACCTATTCAGTTAAAATACTCATTTGTAACTACTTACTTGTCAAAAGTAATGGCTCGAGGTGTATTTCAGAATGTGTTGTAGAATTCATATCTTCGAGCAAAAGTGTCCATGTATATTGAATAAGGTTTGTTTCAGAAGGTCGACATGATCCACAACTACCCTGAACAGTGAACGTCTGTGATGGGTTCATCTTCGACTTGCAGTTTAGAACGCACCTTAAGAAATAAGAGAGGGGTCACACTCTAAACTGACCAATTGTAGTGTATTACTAAAAATGGGTTACCTTAAATATGTTACTATAATACATGTATTTGGACTAGTCTGATTAAAATTATATCTAAAAATATGTAAGCACTACTGTCTTCAGGGGAAGACGAGACACATTAAACACAAGGTATGGAATATGGACAAAGGATCGAATGTAGCCAGTCATTAGAAAAATAGATCTCGAATATGTAAACCAATGCTTTGTTCTAAGCAAAACCTAACAGCGGAAGAGATAAATGATAAGAATGCGATCGTCAGAAATGCATGTAAATGTATTAAAAATATTTACTCACTTGATTAAGATCATTGGAAGTGTTCCTTCTACTATGGTAACTGCTTGGTCGAAGTACCCATCCTTTGTGCCCGATTTAACAACGACTCGAAAAACATTGGTTGAAAATGGTTTTAAAATCCCAGTATCAACTTCAAGTTGACCATTCGTTATATTCAAGCGCCCAATGCCATTTCCGAAACATCCTTTAAACTCTGTATCGTTGTAAAACAGTGGATTCTTAGGGATATTTAAAGGTGTATAAGTTGTAGTACCATAATCTTCGGGTATTCTAGTGGGATCCTCGGTAGGTTCCTCGAATATATCCGCAAATGATTCGTTCTCTCTGCGACAGTACCAAATATACTGAAATGTTTCTTTTGCCAATGGATCATCAGGATCAAATGAGTATGTCGCTGCATCAAGTAATAGCATGTTGTTAAATCCTGCAGATCTTGCATTCCCTCCTATGATTTCAATATTCAAAGGCGTTGGCGAAATTCTCAAATATACGAAGTCAAACTTGAACACTTCTGGATATCCCTGCATGGATACATTTAAAAATAATTTGTAATCTCCATAAACAAATGTTCTTGGCGGAAACATTATTTCAAGGTTATTTGTTGTCAGTGATTCCAATGCGAAGTCTTCCTCAATCCTCTCATTGTATATTTCTCCTGGAAGAAGTCTCTTTATACTCCATGTGTATACCACTCGATTTGTGGCAGCGCATTTCTTTATGACTGAACCTTGCACATGGATCCATTCAGAACGCATATAAGTCACTGGTAAGTCTTTATGTCGTCCATCGCCATCTATATTCACTTCGGGGTAATCACAATTCACCCCAATGATAGCGACTACGTCAGTTTCCTCTGCTCTGGAGACATCATTAAATCCTGTGACTTTTACATTAAATGCATCTTCCGTGTGATACGTATGCTGATGCTCTAGCGTAGCGCTTGGTCTCCAGTATTTGAAAATAGCACTTGGAAACCTAAGCTTACAATGATTTTCACCATACATCACCAAAGACGAATCATCTCCCATATCCCAAACATAACATGCTTTTGTACCAGGCTTGTCCAACTCGAGAAGTAATGTTAAGTTACTGAACGATTTAGCCGGGCCATTATTACTAAGCAAGAAAATTTGACATATTTGTTGAATTTGAATAACAGACCGATCAGAGTCAGAATACAGAGCATTTTTGACTATAAGAATCACCTCATAGGTTCCAGGAAGGGCATATTGATATTTCACAAAGCCTACAGAAGTTGTTTCGACATTGCCATCACCAAAGTCCCAAAGGTATTCCAGTACATTTCCAGTTTTCTGATTTGCTTGGAAATATACAAATCGTTCACGTGGAAACGTATCATTGTTTGTTCCATGCCCAAAGCTCACTTTATCATTAATGTCGTTGACTTTGTAAAACCTGCTTATCTCTACTCCGCTGACTTTCTCTAACACGACTACTTTTATGGAATGCAAAACAGATGAAACTTTATTTTTAATTGTAACCGAGGGTAAATATTTGCCAGGCCTTGTGTATGAGTGGACTATTTGATAATACGTTGAATTGGTTATTAATTCATCACGTGTAAACGTTTCAAATCCTCCATCTCCAAAATCTAAATCAACTTGAAAATGAGATCCTTTGGACAAATGGACGAAATATATTATTTCCTCGTCAATTGCTTGATAAGTTTTCGAAGCATTTATTTTTACACCTTCAATTCTACGTTCTACTCTGATGGTTTTACTTACTGATTCGGAATTAAGCAGGTTGCTACATGTTATATTTGCAAGAATGTCACCAACTATAAGCATATCATTGTAAGTATATTCCATGGAAAGTGGAACTCCCTCTGAGAGCACTGCTGCATATTTAACAGGTCCCTGTTTTTCATCAATCTTTAATGAGCATGTGACATCAGTCGGAGGGTAATCAGTAATCGTTGATACTACCTCAAACTCCATATATCCGGGCGGTATAGCTAGCAAAGATGGTATATCTTTGAATTCCAATCCATTCACACGGTTTTGGACTTTTATGTCTTTACCTAGAGTATATGAAACGTCACTAAGAGTGTTGATACCAGATACTGATGTTGTGAAGTTTCCAGTAGTTTGAAACGTGTGTACAATGGTGGATGTTTGGGCACCACCCTTGGTGTTGGTTATGTTCACAATTTCCGAGATTCCATCCCCATATGTAACGTTCATAATCATATGTGACCCAGTAGCTGATGAAACATTAAACGTTAATGCATCCAATCTATCGACAACAAAACTGGATGGCACAATCTCAAGACCTGTGACCATCTCCTCCATCTTAACATTAGTTGTGACTTCCATAGCACTTATCATATTTGAGCAATTTACTCGCACATTACTGGAACCAAGCAGAGTGGCATTGTATTGCCTTTCAACATTCACGGTCTGTCCATATTGCAAATGGCTGATAAATACATATTCTGCACTTCCATCAGCAAAGTACCAAGTGGTGTGGACATTTCTAAAACTTATTTGCCCAGATGAAATATAAAGGGCAAATTCAACATTTCCAGGAGGGTATGGTACTACTTCAGCCAAAGCTTCCACTGCCAAATCAATCATAATATTTTGTACTTTAACGCTTGTATAACTTTGCATTTGTCCTGCCATGTTTTTAGCAACTACAGTCACTGTGTAGTTTCCAGGGTTGGTGTAAGTGTGGTTAAACATAAATGGATGTCTGAACGCAAGCATGTGCCTATTGCTGTTTGACTTAATAGTCCCGTCACCAAAGTCAATAGTATATGAAATATGAGATCCACGGTCCATGTCAACAGTGACTGTGACCATATCTTCAACAGCATAGTATATATCACTGGTGGTAGCCGATAGGCCACGTATAGGATCCTGATGATCATTGCTTATCACTGAAAAGCATTTATGCTATCAAATCAATGAGCATTTTACATATCCTAGAACTAATAATATCTCATAAGCCTTTGGAGGCTGGCCGTATAATTACGGGTGACACTGTAATAAATAAATAAATAAATAAATAAATACGATGTAACAGGAAAAAATTAGAGTGTACTTATCATAAGACTGTAACCATCGTTGAGACAGATACGCAATATTTGTAAATAAATTGTAGCACGTCACTATTGTATTGATACTTACTGGCGCACATTCTTCCTGGTCTGGTCATATCTAACGATATATCTAGATATAAAGTCATACAGGAACAGGTGTATTGTCCTACAGTGTTGTTACAGTTTGAATTGTCACCACAATCATTCCAATCTGCATTTGAGCACTCGTCCACATCTGTGAAATAATTATATTCAAATGTGTTACAAAGATTACAAGGGTACAATACAATATATACCATGCAGTAAACATTACAAATGATTTAAACATCAAACACAGCATAATTTCAATACCAAAGCAACAATATGGGTAAAGCCATGTGACAAATATAATCTAAAGAATACAAGATTGTTATTAATATTACCTGTCACAACTGTATAATTTGTGTCAATTTCCAATCCATTGTCAGTAAAATACGATGTTGTATTCAGCATAGCTGATTCTACGTCTATGAGACTGACTCCATCATTTGTGTACACATGCATTTCTACTATCAAACTGCCATTGGAGAATCCTTGCACTCGCACCGCAACATAGTCCGATGAAAGTAGACTGTGCCGAAGAGCGTTATCAACCTAAATTACAAAGCAGAAGTTTGGGTAACTTCTTGTACCAATAATTGATATGTGTAATTGATATGTGCTTTTTCATTTTACTCACAACACCTACATAGTTCAATTAGCAAAGGAAACTAAATAAAATCAATAATTGTGACAAACTTACAGAATCTTCCAAAACTGATGACGTCAACAGAAAGGTATCACCGCCAGGGAGAAACTCGGTATCGTTATATTCAACAATGGAGTCGTTGATACGGAGTACTCGCAACGTCAATGAAAACTTATTTGGTTCTAGAATCATGATACGAGTGATGTGTTTAAATGAGAAACACATGTTATATATGTTGAATAAAAGCATGTTACTGACGATGATTTTACGCAATGGAAACTTTATGATTTTTTTTCTTTGAAGTCCGGGGTTGAAGCATTTTGTACTTATTTTTACAAAAAAGGTTCATAGAATGAAAAGTATATAGTAAAATATTAACTTCGGATATAGGTGTATACTTTATATTATTAACAGATTGCCATGTAAAATAGTACTCCTTTACCTATACATACGCCACCTTGATCTATAAATCCAAAATTGCAATCACATCGAAATGTCCCAGGCTCATTAATGCACAATGCGTGATCTTGGCAGGGACTTTCCAGACATTCATTGACGTCTGAAACATTTCACAATATGACTCATAAATGGAAACAGTATTTAATTTTTTTTTTTTTTTTTTTTTTTATTGAATCAAACATGAAATAATACATTTAACAGTATTTAATTACCCGAATGCGAGTAGGTAGTTACCAGTTTCACCACCAGGTGGCTGATTCGGGTCAATTAACACGGCAGGTACAGGGTGTTCAAAAAAAAACGCAACCCAAAGAAATCGCTATATCTTGGAAAATACTAGTCCAATTGTGTTCATTTTTTCAGGAAGGAAAGAAGAGACTTACACGTCGCACGAAACTGGGGACAATTAGAGTAACATTATGGCGTCAAAATACCAAAACAATACAATGACCAGTATAGGGCGCAATCAGCATTATAACGTCAAAAACGACAAGCGTTACATTTTGTCAAGTTTAGTCAACCTAAAAATAAGATGCTTTATTCTTATTCAATCCTGGTGAAATTCACAGAGCAAGAAGATCTCGAGGACAATATTTCTAAAATGTTTTTGATTTTTGAAAAACGGTGAGGAAATCCACTCGGGGCGTCAGTAAAAATTGATATGTATGGGATTTGTGGTAAAAAATCGATGCGTTACATTTTTTCAAGTCTCTAAAAGCAACTCTTATTCTCTTATTATTTGAAAAATAAAGAAATCGGTTATTGTTTTGTAAATTTCGCCATGACAATATTGTGCAGTTAGATTTTTTTTGAAATCAGACCTAAATTAGTAGGTTAAATAAAGGTAAACTTATTGCTTGTCTCCCTCGCCTTCAAAACCTTACACAATTTTGAAAATCTTAAAAGCGTTCATATAAGACGATTTGAACTGTAGCCGCTAGGCAATTGTGACGTCATAAAAGCACATGTTTCAATGAATAAAATGTGAAATTTTAGTAAAATTCTGATCAGTATTTCAAAAGTTATCCTGATTTCAACGAACCGTGTAAGCGTGAAATGTTACGCCTTACAGCGTATTTGACGATGTCGGAGTACATTTAACTTAAAAAATATGGTAGATCCCATCACACTTTTCAAGGAAAAATAATTTCAGTGAAATGCGAATAAAAAATACTTCAAAATGATATATAATGCATATAGTTAGCTTTTTAAATAAGGCAGATATTAACGCTTAAAGCGGAGATTAGCCCGTATTTCCCGAATTGTCCCCAGGTCCCTGCACGTCATAACTGTGTATGTATAGGTCATGTTGTTAGTTAGTTGTAAAACATGATGCCTTGGACAAATGCTCAAAAGACATTAGTATTGGAAAGATACGAAAAACGCAGTCAGAGACTACTGCCACAGCAATAAAACCGAATAACTTTCTAACCATAGTGTTTTGGCTATTCAAATTTGGCACAAATCATCTTCATTCAATATATGATAAATCTGTTGAGTGAAATCAAAATCACTCCAGGGACTTTACAGTTTTGGTCGAAATGCTTTCAAAACCCAGTCAAACACCCTGGTTCAGCCAGACTTAAGAAGGCATTTTGACCATGACTGTAAAGTCCCTGGAGTGGTTTTAATGAAACTCTCCCATTTCACTACACATTATATGAAGATAATTTGTGGTGAATCTGAAGTGCCAAAACACCATGGTTAGAATGTTATTAGGGTTTATTGCTCTGGCAGTCACCTCTGGTTGCGTTTTTCGTATCTTTCCAATACTAATGTCTTTTGAGATGGTGTCCAAGGCATCATGTTTTACAACTAACTAACAGCAGGAGCTATACACACATAGTCTCTTCTTTCTTTCCTGAAAAAATGAACACAATTGGATAAGTATTTTCCAAGATATAGCGATTTCTTTGGGTTGCGTTTTTTTTTTAACACCCTGTATATAAGAAAGTTCCCTTAAACTTGAATATTATCAATTTAAGTGGCTCAATTTTCATATAACCCTTATGTGTCTGATACTTATACTAATGAAAATATGTCCAGTAAAGCAAAATATTATCTGTCCACTAAAAGAAAAGATATTTCATTTTTTGTGATTTTATAGTATGGGGTCTATGGGGAATCTCCCCGAGCTAGAAGTCACATTTTCTAGATGAAATTTTACATGTAGATTTCAAATATGATATTACTTTGACTGAATTTTGAATTTTTAATGACGTAAATCAAGATTATTTCTACTCGCATCTGGGTTATTGAACCTGTTTTGTTTCGTTTAAAATCTAGAAATGTGTAATTCGAGGAAATACGTAGATTGGTATAATGTTAGTTTCTCAGAATATACCGGACACAACCTGCTTTACTAACTGCATTTGCAAGTAAAGGTATTGTCGCTATATGTAGGGGAACATGGGGCAAAACGGCCCTCTGGGGCAAAGTGGCCCATCGAAATATCTTTTGAACTATAAAAAGATGGTTCTTCAAAAGTCACAAAATCGAATTTTGAAATATCTGCCACCTTCTCGACCGTCCATTTTTAACCAAGCAGCGTCTCGCTTTACGTAAGAGGTAATTCTACTTTTCACCCTCTTTTTGGAAATTACCCCTCTCACGAGAATCTCTAAAAAATCCGGCAACAATAGAATATCGTTTTGATTTAACATTTTACATAGAGTGTGCACATTTATTCTTTATTTGTAAAAATTTCGAGCTTAAATATTAGGCAAATTAAAATGACGTCTATTGACGAAAATTCACATGTCTTTGGGGCAAAACGGCCCACACATGTTATAACATACAAAAATCTTATTGTGCAAGAACAATTGGTTTTCAAATGTAACAATTTTAACATCTGGCCTGTGCCCTTATTTCCTTCCGACACATATCGAATGACTAGAATTATGGTAGGGGTTAAGAATACTTTATCTGTCAAAGGTTTGAACGTCTGGGATAAGATGTTTGTGGACGAGTCTTGTAATTGATTAATTTTGGTTTCAAAACCCATGTAACAGAGGGTGGGCCGTTTTACCCACCCATGGGCCGTTTTGCCCCACTCTAGTCTCGACAATATTTTTGACCATTGAAAAATCACAGAAGATAGTCCTAGGAAAGTATAAAACACTCGAAAAATGTAAACCACAAACCATTAATAAAGTGGAACATCAAAGTGCGCGATGATTGACAGATACGAAAATACCCCGTACAGAACAACTTAAAATTAAATTTTTTGGGCCGCTTTGCCCCATGTTCCCTTATATATATACAACGGGACGAGTATCAGAATATTTTGCAGATTTATTCAAGCTTCTGCAATATTTCTAAATTGCAAAAGTTTCTCCTAAAATCGAGTCTCCAAACACACGATCAACACTATCACTCTACTGAATGAAACATACCCTGGCATTGACTTTCTATATCAGCATAGCCGTCGTCACACAGACAAAAGTGGCTTCCTATTGTATTTTCACAGTGAGAGTTAATTTTGCAAGTAACAGACAAACATTCGTTTACATCTGAAAAAACAAATAATTAATTTAACTGATGACATAAAGTGTATACATACAAACTTGGTAATGATGTTTCATGTTCGATTTCATCATATTTACCTTCACATGTGTCATCAAATGTTTTATTGTAGCCTGGGTCGCATTCACAGACATACGATCCTATATTGTTGATACAGTTTGAATTTACAGGACACATACCTTCAGTTGAACACTCATCCACGTCTAAAAAGAAAGATCTCGGTTTTAAATGTAAATATTAACCTTACATAATATTCCCATCTTGGCAAACTACGGAAAATACGTTCTATATATAACTGCATAATTATGGTGAAATGTTCAAATTCATTGATATTTGAAGAAAATCAAGATAATCAACTAAACAGTCTTTAGCATCCGCTCTACAAGCTATAGATACAAGTATATAGGGGCAAATTTACGATATTTGATATTTTCAAATACTGTTGTTCCACTAAAGCCTGCGTCGTGTGTGTTGATACCAACGAAATCTATGTGTGCTATTTTGGTGTCATCACAACTGATTGTCATAACATTGCGATGTATATTGAAAATATTATATTTCTCAAAAACAGCTTAAATGATGATTTTTTGTTTTGTTTTGTTTGTGGTAATCCAAACCCGGATAACAGCACATACAGTGCATCGGTTGCGTTTGATAATTTTCAACCCATAAAACATGTTTCACATCAGTTCTTAAAGGGACAAAGCTAGATATGTGTAACCCATGGAATAAAATACTTTTTATATGCATGTGCCATTTGTCTAATATTTTGTATCCTCCGCTAAACTGGTTAAATTAAAATTACTGATGCTTCACTTCTTGAATATTTCGCCAGAAATGCCATCAGCACAAGGGTTACCACCTCAGTAACAGTCAACGAAAACATCAGACAAAATATTGTTATTTTTGTGGTAGATTTATGTTTTGCTGTCCAATATTTTGTATCCTCCAAAGATTAAAATTTCAGCAATGCATATAAATGATTTCAAACAATTATTTTCAGATATTGAAACTAACCCAATGTTGTATTTAAATGATTTTTATATAAAATCAATATCTATATTGGAAGTAAAGTGAATATGTTGAGCATGGGTTGGAGGATACAAAACATATGGACGTGATAAAATCATGTGTTTTCTTTTGATAATTATGAAATATCAAACAAGACCTTTTGAGAGCTGGTCGGAAACATGTTTTATCAACCATTTGGAAATAATCGACGTACTTGATGTATGATTTATTATGTTGTCATAGCAAACTTTGATTTTTGTCTAAAAAATCACCATTAAAGCTGTAAAGAAATAATAAGCAATAGTTTCAACATGGTAAACAGTTGTGTTGACATCAAGGTAGCATACATTTAATGTCGTTGATATCAACACATATGGCGCAGGCGTTGGTAAAATAGCAGAATTTGGGGAATTTAAAAAATATCAATTATCGTGAATTTGCCCATAAGTGGTATTAAATCCGAGTGGTTAATTTGCCAAATGGTCAAATATTTATTTTCCTAATTTCAATTTTCCTAGTGACAAGAAACGTCCCGTTGGATAACATTATGAAGATTATATTTCTGACATTTAATTTCCCGAACCAGAAAGAAAGTAGGTAATAGGCAAATTAAATGCATGATTGGGCAAAATTACCACTTAGAGCATGTGATAGAAGACCAAATGTGCAATGAATAAAGCTTACATTTTGTCACTTAAATATTGGTGACAATTAAGATGGATAGATATTAGACTTACCAACGCATATGCCATGTTGGTCTCGTGTGAACCCATCAAGGCATGGGCAATCAAAACTCCCCAAAGTATTTTTACAATATGAATATCCCGTGCATGAGTGATTCCCATCACATTCATTTATATCTAAAATCAAGAGAGAATACATAATACAATAACTGTTCCAGTTTCTAAATCAAGGTAATTCTTTACTTTTATGATAATTCCAAATTCGGTTTTCTCACCAATACATGTATCATTTGGTCCAATATTGAAGCCATCAATGCATAAGCATTCAAATCCCAATAGTGTATTATTACAGTATGAATATCCCGTACAAGTATGGCTACCATCAATGCACTCATCGATGTCAACTGAAATAGAGGTTCATAAATCTTTATTAATGTTTCAAAGCATTGCTTGGTAAATTGATATCACTTAAATCAGGTAAAAAGTTTACTGAATGAATCTGATAATTGGAAAAGTCTACCTTATGTTAAACAGTGTATTTACAGTGTACATTAAGTGTAAATCAACAGAGTCACGGGAAGCCGAGTTTGAACCCAATTTGAATACTCAATTAGCGCAAATGACAAGGGCATTGCCAGAATTTCAAGACAAAGATGTTCGCTACATAAAGTATAAATTTATGTCCAAGTATGCAACAGAGCATCTGGTTGTAGGTGTAATGAGATAAAGCGATATGTTGTGTTTCCTGTGACTTTGCTCAAATAAATAGCTCATACCATGACCAAGCGTTGATGGAATATCTGTAGACATGTCCAACATTGATGTTGATGACTCGCTTGCTGTAGACATATCCAATGTTGATGTCAATAATTCAGCTGTTGTAGACATGCCTGATGTTGATGTTGATTCGCTTGCTGTAGTCATATACGATGTTGATGTTGATTGGCTTATTGTAGTCATGTCCACTGTTGATGTTGATGGTTCATATGTTGTAGTCATATCAGATGTTGATGGTGTTGATTCGCTTGCTGTAGTCATATCCGAAGATGATGTTGATTCACTTCCTGTGGTCATATTCAATGTTGATTCGCTTGCAGTAGTCAAATCCTCGCCCAATGTTACTGTTGATGATTCATCTGTTGTCGACATGTCCGACGTTGATAATGGTGATTCGCTTGCTGTATTCATATCCGATGTTGATGTTGATTCGCTTGCTATAGTCATATTCAATGTTGATTTGCTTGTTGTAGTCAAATTCTCGTCCAATGTTACTGTTGATGATTCATCTGTTGTCGACATGTCCGATGTTGATGCTGGTGATTCGCTTGCTGTATTCATATCTGATGTTGATGAGCTTGCTGTAGTTATGTCCAATGTTGATGTTGATGGTTCATCTGTTGTTGTCATATCATATGTTGATGTTGATGATTCGCTTGCTGTAGACATATCCAATGCTGATGTCAATGATTCATCTGTTGTAGCCATATCTTTTGTTGGTGGTGTCGATTCGATTGCTGTAGTTATATCTGATGTTGATGTTAATGAATCGCTTCCCGGAGGCGTATCTGATCTTGATGATGATTCGCTTGCTGTTGTCATGTCCAATGTTGATGTTGATGATTCATCTGTTGTAGATGTATCCAATTTTGGTGTTGATGATTCGCTTGTTGTAGAGATACCTAATGTTGATGTTTCATTTGCTGTAGACATAACCAATGATGGTACCGATAACTCGCTTGCTGTAGACATATCCGATGATGGTGCCGTTGACTCGCTTGTTGTAGTCATATCCAATGATGGTGCCGATGACTCGCTTGTTGTAGTCATATCCAATGATGGTGCCGATGACTCTCTCGCTGTAGACATAACCAATGATGATGCCGATGACTCGCTTGCTGTAGACATATCCAATGATGGTGCCGATGACTCTCTCGCTGTAGACATATCCAATGATGGTGCCGATGACTCGCTTGCAGTAGACATTTCCAATGTTGGTGTTGATGATTCACTCGTAATGAGTCGTGTCGTATCAATACTTGTAATGAGTCCAAATGCCGTAGACTGACTTGTGGGAAACACTACAAATGAATGAAAATCATGTGACATGCAGGCTAGATAGAGTTAATACAAACCACTGCCTTATACTTATTCAGGGTCGACCGGGTTCACCTAGTACGTTATATACATTTAAAAGTAATAAATCATGAATTTAAAAGTGAACCATTTATAAAAACAACGCAACACCTACTTACTTGTGATAGTTACGTTAGAGCTGGTGGTTTGAAACTCTCCAAGAGAAGATTCAGAATATGTTAGAGTTGAACTCGGGGCTTGTGCTTAAAAATGAAAAATAATCAATAGAATGGTTTGCAATACAAAGAAATTATATGTAATACACCTACATATAAGAAAAAAAATTGTTGATTTTAATAATGCTTGAAATATAATTCTACCTGTTGAAGATCCTATGACATCGAATCTCATGGATATACGACCCGACCATGTTCTGGGATTGACTCTGACAGCACTTGCTACAAATGGCCTGACTAGTTTGTTTACCACCACTGTATCTCTGTCTGTATTCCCGAGAAAGCTCTGGTAAAAGAAATGAAAAGCTCAACAATTACAAGACCCATATATTTAGCTAAAAAGTTCAATTCAAGTGTGAATAGTTTTTCAAACTGAGTAATGTGTTTTCGCCATAATTTGATATGATATGCATACCTAGCTTTAAATGGCAAAATGACCACTCCACAGAATTAGCATTCCGAAAAACAATTGGATTATCTGATTTAACTGAGATTGAACAGACCTTTGGAACATCTCCATCTAAATCCGAATATGTGATAAATGTTACTAGATCAAGACTATATTCCACTCTGTATGATGTCACCCATTCATCAGAGCCATGTCGCCCCTGTGTGGCAATAGCAGTCACTGTGCAATTGGTCCCAAGATCCACTTGGATATATTGGTCCGTATTCAAACTGGAGGCACTCCAATGTCCAAAATTCTCACCATCGCTTCAAAAGTGAAGTGAAATTAAGAATGGAAAACACATGATCGAATCTAAGTTCAAATTAGGATAAACAAGTAAAGTGTATCTCGTATTCGTTTATTCAATCTTGCAAACGCATTTTAACGAAGGAATATCCAAGTCCTCGTGCATACATACCCTACATTAAAGAGTCGGCCACGAAACGCCGCCATAGTTGTATCATAGTTTGACGAGGATGTCAATTTTGAACTCGGAATTCCTCGTGACAAGATCAAATAGTCATCCCCTATGTAAGTGAAAATAATTAAAATTCAATTGGCTGCATACCATAATCTAGCACAGTATCATCACGACTCAAAGATGAAGTAATTGACATTGAATGAGATAATTGATTGCAAATGTAATTGGTAAAAGCTTTGATGATACAAATACCAACACCATTTTACACCCTCATATATAATCCGCCATGTTTGATCACATTTTACCAAAAATTAAAATCAAAAGCAATAAGTGAAGACTGGACAAACCAAAACGGCAAAATGTGATTGTACAGTGATGGTCCCATACTATTGTCCGATGCAAAATACCTGTAGAAATGGTAGCCGTTTCCTGTATTCTGTATGCACCAATAAATGAATCATTAGCTTGGGCTACATCATTTATACATTTCTTTATCTGCCCTGGTCTAACGTAGGATTCTACGACAACAATATAATCCACGATAACACTCCCCTCTCTGAAATTAAACGAGTAGTGCTACTATTAGCAACGGGGATCTTCTCCAGTTTTCAGAATCAACTAATAAAGGAACAGTAATTGTGGAATAGTACGTTTTCTTATTTAGTTATTTGCGTTGCGTTGCGAAACGTACAATAATATACAATAATTATGCAATATATGTACATGGTGTTTCATATGTATGCACCCCCATAAACGCATATGCCACCCTATCATGTCATCTATCATTGTGTCCCTTGTGGAAAGTTACATAAGATTGCTAAGTTTCAAAATTCAGTGGTGCCCCTGAAAAAAGATACAATGTACAAGGTGTTCCAAAAGAAACAGGACTGGTGCTGGCATTTTGTCAATTTTGAACCAATTTCTTTTTTATTTTATTAGTTGCTTTGTTGTAAAGATGTTGCGATACAACTCAGATTCAAGTATGATTTCATAATGATAGTAATATTTATTCGATTTCTTGGAATATCACTATGTGTAAATTTTACATAATGTACTTTGACGTATTGCAACTAAAATTGTAAAGTTTCAGAAAAAATGACGAAATGCGGTTAGAGTTATGGTTACTATAGCAACATGACATACCAATACACGGGGCAACCTTTTCCTGGAAATGTGATATCTAACATTTTTGTATTACCGAAGAAAGTATCTAATTCACCTATTATAATAGAACATTTCTTTTTTATTTTATTAGTTGCTTTGTTGTAAAGATGTTGCGATACAACTCAGATTCAAGTATGATTTCATAATGATAGTAATATTTATTCGATTTCTTGGAATATCACTATGTGTAACAGTTTGAACAACTCAAGGTTGAGTTTTTGAAGACCCAATTTGAAGGCAGTCATCCACCTTGATAGTGCTCCTGCCCGCAGGTCAGCATTAAAGACCATGCAGCTATAGAGGAGCTAGGTCTTGAGGTCTAAAACCATGTACCATACTCTTCTGATCATGCAATATCTAATTTTTACTAATATTGAGAACGGAATGCTAAACAGTGCTGTACATAAGACCTTTTAAGATGAGAATGACCTTCTCAAAATTGTCCAATCGACCCTGCGTGACATGTCCTCAAATGGGTTCACTCATGTGTTGGGACATGGATACAGAGTACTACTCTTGTACTGACCAAAGAGGAGCCTATTTTTCAAATTAGAGGATACAAAGGAATATCAAATGATGTACAACAAGTGTAATACCCAGTACCCACCAGTTGTTGCATTTCAACTTTGATATGGCATGTACAAAATGATATGGGATGTACAAAATGCTTAATGTCTCTGTAACTTTTTGCGTGGAATGTTGTCCCGGGTATTGCGATATCATGTTACTATAGCAACCATAACTCTACCCGAGTTTCATATATTTTGTCGAAACTTTGCAGTCTTAGTAACGATACATGAAAGTACATTATGTAAAATTTTGAAGACAATTGGTGCATATTTAACAAAATACAAGCACCAGTCCTGTTACTTTTGGAACACCCTGTATGTGGGTATGGGTCATTTCAAGGGGAATTTCTGTTCATTTCGAGGGCAATTTAAAATAAATATATAGCTTCTGTTTTGCACATTTCTAGGAGTTTTCAGACACACGCCTGGATTCTGAAACTTTGTAATCTTATGAAACTTTCCATGAAGAACAAAATGATTAAAACATGATATATCTTATATTCCCAGGGTTGTTGATGTTGAATGTGTCTGGAAGCCATTCAAGAGCAATTTGATAAACTCTATTTCATCAGAATATTCGTATAATATGATAAAATAAAATTATCACACTCCGTACCTTATATCTGTGATTTGGATGTCAAACAAATTGCTTCCTATAGTTGGATCTTCACTTATTGTAGCAATCAACTAGAGTCAGAAAAAGGTATATATATATATATAACATCAATTGAATATAGATGACAATGGTATGCTACGACCTAGGCAGCTAGGTAAAAATGACAATAATGCAATTATTCAAATTACTTAGTTAGTCTCGTGATTTTAAATTAAAGCTTCAAAACTGGCTCGGAAAAATGGCCACGTGTGGTCACGTGGGATCAGCAAACGCTGGAAATATTGACCATTGATCACGAGTTTTCTCGCAGAGCACAAAAAAGGTTATATAACATGAAACCCAACTATATATCTTTTTTGATATGATCCTGGCCCCTTTTCAAACCAAAGAAACTGGTTAAACAAATATGATATCATACGTTGCAAGCAGTAATATTTTTTTTAAATGTAAGCTGTAAGAATGACATTTGTAACCAAATAGGTAGCCTTGCCCAAGTCGGTATTTTTTTTACTTATCTGATCTTGGATTATTACCGCCTTGTACAATCCAATTCATCTCCGCTGTTATTATGCTGAAATATTCAACGGTTTCGAAATTTCCATTACACCTACGCTATCAGGGGTATCGCGAAACCTTATTGATTGACAGATATCGCGTGGACACGACGTGTGACTTCAGGCTGAATGACCAATCAAAACGTTATCAGGTTGAGCTGCATAAACAAAACAAACTTCCCATCTACGACTTGAAATTCCATGATCTGATCGAGTGTTTCGCTATAGTGATGTTATTAAATGTACATTGGGAGGTAAGAGTCATTAATATAAATTAAATCATACGATTCAATGTTGATTTAAAACTGATTTCGCGATGAAAATGCACGATGTAGTCCAATGTAGCGGGTCATGTTGTCGTCGATCGGTGATTGAATCTCAGCCTACATGTTCAGCGATCGTTTCAACGTTAATTGTTGAAATCTTCTCACCTTTGGTTATCCGATCGATGCCCCGGCATCCACTAAACTCTCATTGATATTTATCTGATAAAATATTTGTATTTTCATGATGAATTCGCTCAGATTCGTGCAAGATTTGTTCGTGAAAAGTCCCGGTGAAAAGTGTACTTGTTTTTGACCGTGCATAATAATGAGCTAACGCTACAGGGCCGTCGTTGATTGGTCAAATTTTACCGACATCAACAAACTGTCGGTAAAGCACGTGGTTTTCTCTTTGGTACAAGGCGGTCATACTAGAAATCAAGATAAGTAAAAGAAACCGACTTGGGCAAGGCTACCAAATAGGTGGCAGGGCCAATTGGATTTGTCTAATTTATACATACAGCCCGTCTGACGTCGTCTTCCAGTGCCTTGTATTCCTCAGACTCTGGATCTAAAAAGGCATTTGTAAACTCGAGATTTGTTGCTTTCACAGACCCTAATACTGGAAAACAACTTTCGCCACATCGCTCAATTGGAGATAATGTTGTAGTCGTCAATGTTGTTGTTGTCGTCGATTTTGTAGTTACCGGGGGTAATCCTGGTACTGGTGCTGGAAAATTCAGTTTGACATTTTCAGGTTTTAATGGTTATACCAACTTATCATGAACAAATAAGTATTTCGAATTGTAAAGAACGAATAATATGCAGAATCTCGAATTAAATCTCTATAGGCCTATATATTCTATAATTGCCATTTACAAATCTGAATACTCCTCTGCATAATATATTAACTGAACTGAATGCTGATTTATGCTTGCACCTCCATACAGTAACTCTTTGTTTATAACTTAATCAAATCGGCAATCTGAGATCCGAACAGATGACAGATATCTTATTTGTAATGCCTTAATTACCATACGATAATATTTCAAAATAGAATGTACATCTATTTATATTTCAGTGAACATTTCAACTGCAGTTTCTTCTCAAACGACTTTTTGTGCGATGAGGTTAGTATAAGCATGATCGTAATGACGTAAGCAATGAAATTGAAAGATGCATGGGAAAGCATTGATAGTGAAATCAAAAGCATCAGTATATAGAGAGTGGTACCCTCTGATTTAGGGGCCGTAGTACTAGTTCCCGTATTGGAATCAGACGCAGTTGTGGCATCAGAATCAGCCGTGACGTCAGATAGAGGTGTGATATCAGGCACAGTTGTGACATCGAATACTGTCGTGACATCAGTTGCAATTGTACTATCAGCTGTAATCATCACACTAGATGCAGTTGTGATATCAGAAGTTCTGACATCAGATCCAGTTGTTATAACAGGTACATAAGTGTCATCAGGTTCCGCCGTAATATCAGTTGTGACATAAGACACAATTGTGTTATCAGGAAAGGTTGTTACGTCAGATGTAGTTGTTATGCCAGGAACAGTCGTGAAGTCAGATTCAGACTTGATATCAGGAGTAGTTGTGAGCTCAGATTTAGTTTCGATATCAGGAGCAGTTGTGACGTAAGATTCAGTTGTGATCTCAGGAGCAGTCTTGGCGTCAGATTCAGACGTGATATCATTACTAGTCGTGATATAAGGAAGGGTCGTGACGTCAGACACAATTTGGTAATCAGGGGCATTTGATGTACCATCAAGAACAGTTTGTGTTCCAATGGGTGAAGTCGAAGAATCATCAGGAACAGTAGCTGTATTATCAGTTGTAGTCGATGTACCACCAGACATAATCGATATACTGTCAGTTACAGTCCATGCAACATCAGTTGCAGTCGATGCATTATCAGTCAAAGTCGATGAACCATCAGTCAATGTCAATGTACCATCATTTGAAGTTGATGTATCAGTCAATAACTTATCAGTAGCTGTCGATGTAACAGCAAGCATATTAGATTTACCTTCAATTAAAGACCCGGTAGATGTAACACCTCTATCTGTGGTTATTCCATCAGACACAGTGAATGTAGAACCACCTTCTGTAGTTTCTTCTTCGGACACAGTTGATGTAGAAACAATCTTTGTGATTATATCATCAGAAACAGTTGATGTAGAACCACTCTCCGTGGTTATTCCATCAAACACAGTTGGTGAAGAGCCGCTCTCTGTGGTTATTCCATCAGACACAGTTAGTGTAGAACCACTCTCTGTGGTTTTTCCATCAGACACAGTTGGTGAAGAGCCGCTCTCTGTGGTAATTCCATCAGACACCGTTGATGAAGAACCACTCTCTGTGGTTATTCCATCAGACACAGTTGGTGAAGAGCCGCTCTCTGTGGTTATTCCATCAGACATAGTTGATGTAGAACCACTCTCTGTGGCTATTCCATCAGACACAGTTGGTGAAGAGCCGCTCTCTGTGGTTATTCTATCATACACTGTTGATCTAGAACCACTCTCTGTGTTTATTCCATCAGACACAGTCGGTGAAGAGCCGCTCTCTGTGGTTATTCCATCAGACACAGTTGATGTAGAACCACTCTCTGTGGTTATTCCATCAGACACAGTTGGTGAAGAGCCGCTCTCTGTGGTTATTCTATCAGACACAGTTGATGAAGAACCACTCTCTGTGGTTATTCCATCAGACAAAGTTGATGAAGAACCGCTCCCTGTGGTTATTCCATCAGACACAGTTGGTGAAGAGCCACTCTCTGTGATTATTCCATCAGAAACAGTTGATGTAGAATCCTTCTTGGAGGTTATCTTATCTGACACAGTTGATGTAGAACCACTATCTGTGGTTATTCCATCAAACACAGTTGATATAGAACCACTCTCTGTGGTTATTCCATCAGACATAGTTGGTGAAGAGCCGCTCTCTGTGGTTATTCCATCAGAAACAGTTGATGCAGAATCCTTCTTGGAGGTTATCTTATCTGACACAGTTGATGTAGAACCACTCTCTGTGGTTATTTGATCAGATACAGTTGACATAGAACCACTCTCTGTGATTGTTCCATCAGACGTAGTTGGTGTTGAACCACTCCCTGTGGTTATTCTATAAGCAACAGTTGAGGAAGAGCCACCCTCTGTGGTTATTCCATCAGACAAAGTTGGTGTAGAACCACTCTCTGTGGTTATTCCATCAGTCTCAGTTAGTGTAGAACTACCCTCTGTGGTTATTCCATCAGACAAAGTTGGTGTAGAACCACTCTCTGTGGTTATTCCATCAGACTCAGTTAGTGTAGAACCACCCTCTGTGGTTATTCCATCAGACAAAGTTGGTGTAGAACCACTCTCTGTGGTTATTCCGTCAGACTCAGTTAGTGTAGAACCACCCTCTGTGGTTATTCCATTAGACGCAGTCGATGAAGAAGCACTCTCTGTGATTATTCCATCAGACAAAGTTGATGTAGAGCCACCCTCTGTGATTATTCCATCAGACGTAGTTGATGTAGAACCACTCCCTGTGGTTATTCCATCGGACGTAGTTGATATAGAACCACTCTCTGTGATTATTTCAATAGACGTAGTTGGTGTAGGACCACCCTTGGTGGTTTTTCCATCAGACAAAGTTGATGAAGAACCACTCTCTGTGGTTATTCCATCAGACACTGTTGATGTAGAACCACCCTCTATGGTTATTCCATCAGACAAAGTTGGTGAAGAACCACTCTCTGTGGTTATTCCATCAGACAAAGTTGATGTAGAACCACTCTCTGTGGTTATTCCATCAGACAAAGTTGGTGTAGAACCACTCTCTGTGGTTATTCCATCAGACAAGGTTGATGTAGAACCACCCTCTGTGATTATTCCATCAGACAAAGTTGGTGTAGAACCACTCTCTGTGGTTATTCCATCAGACAAGGTTGATGTAGAACCACCCTCTGTGATTATTCCACCAGACAACGTTGATGTAGAACCAGCCTCTGTGATTATTCCATAAGACAAAGTTGCTGTAGAACCACTCTCTGTGGTTATTTCACCAGACATAGTTGATGAAGAACCATTCTCTGTGATTATTCCATCAGACAAAGTTGGTGTAGAACCACCCTCTGTGGTTATTCCATCAGACAAAGTTGGTGTGGAACCACTCTCTGTGGTTATTCCATCCGACGTAGTTGATGTGGAACCACTTTCTGTGATTATTCCATCGGACGTAGTTGATATAGAACCACTCTCTGTGATTATTTCAATAGACGTAGTTGGTGTAGGACCACCCTTGGTGGTTTTTCCATCAGACAAAGTTGATGAAGAACCACTCTCTGTGGTTATTCCATCAGACAAAGGTGGTGTAGAACCACTCTCTGTGGTTATTCCATCAGACTTTGTTAGTGTAGAACCACCCTCTGTGGTTATTCCATCAGACAAAGTTGGTGTAGAACCACTCTCTGTGGTTATTCCATCAAACCCAGTTGGTGTAGAACCACCTTCTGTGGTTATATCATCAGACTCAGTTACTGTAGAACCACCCTCTGTGGTTATTCCATCAGACAAAGTTGGTGTAGAACCACCCTCTGTGGTTATTCCATCAGACTCAGTTAGTGTAGAACCACCCTCTGTGGTTATTCCATCAGACAAAGTTGGTGTAGAACCGCTCTCTGTGGTCATTCCATCAGACACAGTTGGTGTAGAACCACCCTCTGTGGTTATTCCATCAGACAAAGTTGGTGTGGAACCACTCTCTGTGGTTATTCCATCAGACGTAGTTGATGTGGAACCACTCTCTGTGATTATTCCATCGGACGTAGTTGATATAGAACCACTCTCTGTGATTATTTCATCAGACATAGTTGATGTAGAACCACTCCCTGTGAGTATTCCATCAGACGTAGTTGATGGAGAACCACTCTCTGTGATTGTTCTCTCAGGGGTAGTTGATGTAGAACCACTCTCTGTGATTATTTGATCAGACGTAGTTGATGTAGAATCACTCTCTGTGAGTATTCCATCAGACGTAGTTGATATAGAACCACCCTCTGTGATTATTCCATCAGACAGAGTCGATCTAGAACTACTTCCTGTGGTTACTCTATGAGCAAAAGTTGATGAAAAGTCACTCTCTGTGGTTATTCCACCAGACAACGTTGATGTAGAACCACTCTCTGTGGTTATTCCATCAGACGTAGTTGATGTAGAACCACCCTCTGTGGTTATTCCATCAGACAAAGTTGATGTAGAACCACTCTCTGTGGTTATTCCATTAGACACAGTTGATGTAGAACCACTCTCTGTGGTTATTCCATCAGACACAGTTGATGTAGAAACACTCTCTGTGGTTATTCCATCAGACAAAGTTGCTGTAGAGCCACTCTCTGTAATTATTCCATCAGACAAGGTTGCTGTAGACACACTCTCTGTGGTTACTCCATCAGGTACAGGTGATGTAGTATGTTTTTCGGTGGTTATTACATTAGGCACAGTTGTTGAAGAACCACTCTTAGGCCCACTTGATGGAGAGTTGCCATCTGTGGTTAGTCCATCAGACACTGTTGATGTAGAAGTAGAACCAACGCCATTATCAGATAAAGATCTTGTATAAGCAGTCACGGTTGATATACCATCTGTAGCAGTTTTTGTAGCGTGGCTTGACCAACCTAAAGAAGAATGAGTTAAGTATTGTTCGTCATTTATTGACAATACATATTTTGCATATTATCGGCCTCCTTTTAAAATTTAAAAATTAACTTAACTAATTTGGCGTTAACAATTAATGTATTCAACTGATTATAATAATGACAATATGTATGTGAAAAACAGCTCGTGCATACCATCAGAGCATAGAAATAGAAAGTGCAAGAAAACAAAGGAATTGTAAAAAGGTGACTAAGGATGACAGGGTTGACTGAATGAGAATGGTGAATTTCCATAAATGATCGAAAAGCAACACTATAGTATGATAGTGTGATCTTTATGGTTTTCCAGAACTCCACTTTCTTCGATGTCTCATAGATCGGTGTGAGACTATCCCTTGCTGAAAATTAATAATAAGCACTCATAAGCAAAAAAGTCAGCAATTGATGAAATGGAGATGAATATTTGAAGTAAGTTATAACAGTTCTCAGTTTAAAGAGTGTTGTAAGCATAAAGCAACTTCTTAACAATGTGTAAAAATATATAAAAATGAAGTATGTAATATCTGGATAAGCGTGTCTTAAGCATAAAGCAACTTCTTAAAAATCTGTAAAAAGATATAAAAATGAATTAATATATATGGCTAATTTGATAAATACTTGCCTGTGTAAAATGTTTCTTCTGTGTGGGCTTCTCAAATGTTTCCCAACTTCATACATTGTACGATATTTTCTGTTCTGCCATTTTGCGTTAATCACTACTATATCTCCTTCATCCAAGGCATAGTACACATTAGGTCGTGTTGTACTCTGTGGATTGCGTGTCATTGCATTATCCATCGATCGACGTGTAAATTGAAGAGCTTTCAAACGTTTCGGTGTCCGTTGAGGCTTAGAGTTTCTTAATCAACATTTACAAATGGAATGAAATGAAATTCAAGACTTTTTCGGTGCAAAGAGAAGGAATATAATGATGATTAATGCAGGTTGGTCGGTGGGGAATCTAATAACAAAGTAATGAGTGATCAATGATTAGCCAGAATATGAAAGAAACCCATTTGTGAAATAGTTAGCCAAAAGCCATAATGATGCATATGACAAATGAATTACCTCCAATATCAGTGGCATCCGCAAAAGATACAGTCGTTAGACCATCAGTTGTACTTGCAGTTGTTGAACCATCAGTTTTAGTTGCAGTTGTTGAATCATCAGTTGTACTTGCAGTGGTAAGACCATCAGCTGAATTTGCAGTCGTCGAACTAACAGCTGTATTTGCAGTCGTCGGACCATCAGTTATAATTGCAGTCGTTGAACCATCTGTTGGACTTATAGTCGTTGGACCATCATTTGCACTAGCAGTCGTCAGGCCATCAGTTTCACTTACAGTCGTTATACCATCAGTTTCACTTGCAGTCGTTATACCATCAGTTACACTTGTAGTCATTAGACCATCAGCTGAACTTACTGTCGTTGGACCAACAGTTGCACTTACAGTTGTTATACCATCGGTTGTGCTTGTAGTCGTTGTACCATCAGTTACAATTGTAGTCATTAGACCATCAGCTGAACTTGCTGTCGTTAGACCATCAGTTGCACTTACAGTTGTTATACCATCGGTTGTGCTTGTAGTCGTTATAACATCAGTTACACTTGTAGTCATTAGACCATCAGCTGAACTTACTGTCGTTAGACCATCAGTTGCACTTACAGTTGTTATACCACCGGTTATGCTTGTAGTCGTTATAACATCAGTTACACTTGTAGTCATTAGACCATCAGCTGAACTTTCTGTCGTTAGACCATCAATTGAACCTACAGTAGTTGGACCATCATCAGTTGCACTTGTAGTCGTTATACCATCAGTTGTGCTTGCAGTCATTATACCATCAGTTGTGCTTTCAGTTGTTATACCATCAGGTGTGCTTGCAGTCGTTATACCATCAGTTTTGCTTGCAGTTGTTTTACCATCAGTTATACTTGCATTCGTTAAACCATCAGTTGCATTTGCGGTTGTTGGACGAGCAGTTGTGTTTTCATTCATAAGTCCATCTGTTTCTCTGGTAGTCAGTTGACCGCCAGTGGAACTTGCACTTGTTACACCATCGGTTGTAATTGCTGTTTGGCCATCAGTTGTATTTGCGGTCGTTTGAACATCAGAAGCACTCCCACTCGTTACTTCATCAATTGCATCCACATTCCCTGGACTACCACTTGTACTTGAAGTTGTTAGTCCAACATTTGTTCTTACAGTCGTTAAATCACCAGTTGTGATTCCAGTCGCTGGACCGCCAGTTGTCATTGCAGTTGTTAAGCCATCAGTTGTACTTGCAGCCCTTTGACCATCAGTTGGGATTGCAGTTGTTGGACCATCAGTTGAGCTTACAATTGTACTTTTAGGCTTTGGTCTATCAATTGTACTTGCTGTTGTAGGGTCATCATTTGTACTCGTTGTCGTAATACCATCAGTGGTATGTGCAGTTGTTGGACTATCATTTGGGTTTGCAGCTGTTTGACCATTAGTTGAGCTTGCAATTGTTTGACCATCACTTTTACTTGAAGTCGTTGGGCCAACAGTTGTACTTATCGTGGTTTCATCAATTGAACTCACAGTAATAGGACCATCAGTTGGTCTTGCAGTTGTTGGTCCATTGGATGTACTTGCAGTTGAAGAGCTATCTGTCGTACTAGCATTTGTTGAACCATCAGTTTGGCTCACAGTGATTGGACCATCAGTTGGGTTTGTAGTCGTCGGTTCAACAGTTGTTCTTCCATTAGTCGTACTTGCAATTGTTGGACCATAAGTTGACCCTGCAGTCATTAGACCATCAGTAGAGCTCACAGATGTTGGATCATCAGCTGTCCTTGGAGTCGTTTGACCATCAGTTGGACTTGCAGATGTCGGACCATCAGTTATACCTGCAGTTGTTGGACCATCAGCTGTCCCTGCAGTTGTTGAACTATACGTTGGGCTTACTGTTGTTAGGCCATCAGTTAGTATTGCAGTTGTTGGACCATCACTTGAGCTTACAATTGTAGTGCTACCATACGTTGTAGTTTTAGGCTTTGGACTATCAGTTGTAATTGCTGTTGTACGATCATCATTTGTACTCGTAATACTATCAGTGGTATGTGCAGTTGTTTGGCCATCAGTTGGGCTTGCAGTCGTTGAACCAACAGTTGGGTTTGCAGCTGTTAGAGCATCAGTTCTACTTGCAGTCGTTAGACCATCAATTCTATTAGCAATAAACGGAGCATCAGTTTGGCTTGCAGATGTTGCACCATTAGTTGCACTTGTAGTCGATGGACCATAAGTTGGGTTCGCCGTTGTTGGATCGTCATTTGTTCTTGCAGTTGTTAGACCGTCAGTTGGGCTTGCAGTATTTGGACTATCAGTTGGAGTTGCAATTGTTACACTATCTGTTGGACCGTCAGTTTTACTTGCAGCGGTTGATCCATCAGTTATATTTGCAGCTGTTGGACTATCAGTTGGGCTTGCAGTTGTTAGACCATCGGTTGTACTTGCAGTGGTTGGACCAGCGGTTATAGTTGCAGTTGTTGGACCGTCAGTTGGGTTTGCAGTAGTCCAGCGATCAGATATACTTGCAGTCGTCGGTTCATCAGTTGGCTTTGCAGTTGAATGACCATCAGTTGTACTTGCAGTCGTTGTATCTTCAGTTGTACTTGCAGTTGTTGGACCGTCAGTTGTACTTGCAGTCGTTGTACCATCAGTTGTACTTGCAGTTGTTGGACCGTCAGTTGTACTTGCAGTGGTCGGACCTTTAGTTGAATTTGCAGTTGTATGACCATCAGTTGTACTTGCAGTTGTTATACTATCAGTTGTACTTGCAGTTGTTGGAACGTCAGTTGTACTTGCAGTTGTTGGACCTTCAGTTGACTTTGCAGTTGTATGACCATCAGTTGTACTTGCAGTTGTTATACTATCAGTTGTACTTGCAGTTGTTGGACCGTCAGTTGTACTTGCAGTGGTTGGACCTTCAGTTGAATTTGCAGTTGTATGACCATCAGTTGTACTTGCAGTTGTTATACTATCAGTTGTACTTGCAGTTGTTGGACCGTCAGTTGTACTTGCAGTGGTTGGACCTTCAGTTGACTTTTCAGTTGTATGACCATCAGTTGTACTTGCAGTGGTTGGACCTTCAGTTGACTTTGCAGTTGTATGACCGTCAGTTGTACTTGCAGTGGTTGGACCTTCAGTTGACTTTGCAGTTGTATGACCGTCAGTTGCACTTGCAGTGGTTGGACCTTCAGTTGGATTTGCAGTTGTATGACCATCAGTAGTGCTTCCAGTTGTTAGACCATCAGTTGGTCTTGCAGTCGATGGATCATCAGTTGGGTTCGCAGTTGTTAGACTGTCAGTCCTACTTGCATCTGTTGGACCATAAGTTTGGCTTAAAGTTATTGGACCATCAGTGGCACTTGTAGTCAGGGGACCGTCAGTTGGATTTGCAGTCGCTGTACCATCAGTTGTACTTGCAGTTGTTGGACCGTCAGTTGTACTTGCAGTGGTTGGACCTTCAGATGACTTTGCAGTTGTATGACCATCAGTTGTTCTTGCAGTTGTTGGACCGTCAGTTGTATTTGCAGTTGTTGGACCGTCAGTTGTACTTGCAGTTGTTGGACCGTCAGTTGTACTTGCAGTGGTTGGACCGTCAGTTGTACTTGCAGTTGTTGGACCGTCAGTTGTACTTGCAGTGGTTGGACCTTCAGTTGACTTTGCAGTTGTATGACCATCAGTTGTTCTTGCAGTTGTTGGACCGTTAGTTGTACTTGCAGTGGTTGGACCTTCAGTTGACTTTGCAGTTGTATGACCATCAGTTGTTCTTGCAGTTGTTGGACCGTTAGTTGCACTTGCAGTGGTTGGACCTTCAGTTGACTTTGCAGTTGTATGACCATCAGTTGTTCTTGCAGTTGTTGGACCGTTAGTTGTACTTGCAGTGGTTGGACCTTCAGTTGACTTTGCAGTTGTATGACCATCAGTTGTTCTTGCAGTTGTTGGACCGTTAGTTGCACTTGCAGTGGTTGGACCTTCAGTTGACTTTGCAGTTGTATGACCATCAGTTGTTCTTGCAGTTGTTGGACCTTCAGTTGACTTTGCAGTTGTATGACCATCAGTTGTACTTGCAGTTGTATGACCATCAGTTGTTCTTGCAGTTGTTGGACCGTCAGTTTTACTTGCAGTTGTTGGACCGTTAGTTTTACTTGCAGTTGTTGGACCGTCAGTTGTACTTGCAGTGGTTGGACCTTCAGTTGACTTTGCAGTTGTATGGCCATCAGTTGTTCTTGCAGTTGTTGGACCGTCAGTTGACTTTGCAGTTGTATGACCATCAGTTGTACTTGCAGTTGTATGACCCTCAGTTGGTCTTGCAGTTGTTAGGACATCGGTTTGTATTACAGTTGTTTGACTGTCAGTTGTACTTGCAGTTGTTTGACCGTCAGTTGTACTTGCAGTTGTTGGACCGTCAGTTATTCTTGAGGTCGTTGGACCGTCAGTTGTTCTTGAGGTAGTTGGACCATCAGTTGTATTTGTAGTTGTTGAAGCATCGGTTGAACTTGCAGTCATCTGACTATCTGTTGTACTTGCAGTCGTGAGACCATCAGTTGAACTTGCAGTCGTTGGGTCATCAGTTGAGCTTACAATTGTAGGACTACCACCAGTTTTACTTTCAGGTATTGGACCATCTGTCCTAGTAGTTGGGCCATCAGTTGAGGTTGCAGTCGCCGAACCAACAGTTGTACTTGTCGTAAAACCATCAGCTGTATTTGCAATCAACGGGCCATCAGTTTTACTTGCAGTCGTCGGTCCATCAGGTATGCTTGCAGACGTAAGACCATCAGTTGAACTTGTAGATGTTGTTTCTATAGTTAAAGTGTTACTAGTGTCTGTTGCTAGTGTGGATGTTTCTAACATGGAGAAAAGTAAAAAAAAATACATTTGTTTATTAAGATGTGTAAAGCACTGCTATAAGGGGTTTTTTATTAGGGGATTGATATTTGAATATGGCGTACAAATGTTATATTTTACATCAGATAATTTGATGGCATAAAATTCGCGGTAACGTTACAGTCTTTTTATAAAACCTTAATTAGTTGTAATGCCTTCTAGATTTATGTGTACATTCAAAGCATTAGAAAATTTAAATAAAGCATTTCATTTTCAGATGCAAATAGTAGTATGTCTATCATTCCTACCTCCGGCATTTGCGCTTGGAATTAGAGTCGTTGCATACACGACGGCGCCCGTTGCAACCACCTTAGCTGTTAATGCAGATCCTGTTGTAGACGCAATGTCCGTACTTGATTCAGTTTCAGAATCAGCAGGAGTTACATCACCATTTTGTTCAGTTCCCTCAATCGTCGTGTTTGGGCCATCACTCGTATTCGGTTCATCCCTGTCATTGGGCCTAGTTGTCATGACTGGCTCATTGGTGTCCGACATAGTGCTTTCAGTAATAGGTAGCATCGTGTTTATAGATGACCATGTAGGAGTCCAGTCATTCCCCGTAGGGACTTCAATTTCATCCAACTCGGTTGTCGTTGTGCCTTCGGGAATCATTGGCTCTGAAACGCAATCATAAAGAGGATGTATATGCGATATTATATCAAATTGGGTGCTTGAGTTGTTAGCAAAAACATTTGTAACAGGTACGGTCGTGAATGCGACGTATTTTATTTAAAGCGCTTATAGTGTATACTATTTTATTATATACCCAATATGTAACACTAATCCTGATTGGTCAATACCTAGTCACGTGTTCCGAAATAGATTTACTATTTCCCTCGGAAAGTTATATTCCCTCAAATGTGACGTCAGCGGGAATATACATTTGAACTATTGCCCGCTGACGTCACAATTGCAAGCTCTATTACCCTTGGAAACGTCTGCTCATCATCACTGCGCAGACGAAAAACAGAAAAATGGAGGATGAGCACAAACACAAATCAACTCCGTTCACCATGACAGACGTGCGTGAACGATACAATATAAGCAACGTGTATAAAGTTCCCTAAGCTCAATACGTCTGTGTAATTTCAAGTGTTATTATAATCTATTCCGCGTGTTAAACCAAGGGCGTTACAATACCCGGGAATTTATCGGTTCGTGCAGTACTTGTTTGTGATAGCGCCCTCTGTAGGTCACTGTGCTTATAGCCTACAGTAATACGGGGTAGGATATCGGGAATTCGGTCAGTTTCTATCCGTCGATTTCGCTATGAATTGAAGCAAGTGTGACCACTTTATCCACTTAAACAATTTGATAATTGATTAAATATTTAAACAAAATCGATAAACACGTTATACACTTCCTATCTCCTTAGAAATTAGCATGTATTTATGGATTGTGTTTTCGAACAAGGCTCGACCCATACCAATAGGGAAATCCTTATGCTAATTAGTATGACGTCATATTTTCCTGGGGAATCCTAGATTTCAAAGCCTCAGTCTGTTATTGTGTCAAATGTAAACGCTCTTTTGCAGACAGAAAATTGACAGATTAGCTTTTAACTTTCAGCTTTGATGTTTAAATATTCTGTATTTCTACCGGACTTCTTGCTGAATATCATATAATGTTATAACTTGATTTGGACAATTGCCTGATTGATCATTCTGAAATTTTGATTGTGATTCATGATTGATTGGCAAGAAAAATAATTCCTATTGTTTTCCAGCGAAGTCAAAATGTTACAGCATGAGTTATAATGTCGAGTTTGCATCATGTTAAATTCTGCTAGTGATTAGAAGTCCATGCACAAGCATACACATAAGAGACAAACACACCCAGGCTCCAGGCCGTGGATGGAAATATAAAACTATTTAAGGCACAAACTGGTATTAATAGACCGATATGTAGTGTCTGTCATGTATTGAAGGTAAACTAATCTGCATTATTAATGTTTCTTCTATCAATACATGGATTGTGCAATAGAAAAGCAATGGCACAATCAAAAATGTGCATATCAATCGTGAATATCTCTCGGTTCAAAGCTTATTTCCAACAGAATCGTGTCAAAATATGTGTCTGAGAAACAGTTATACATTATAAGATCGCAAACTCTTACCAATTATCAGCCGAATGGCTCATTTTCAACGAAATGTCCTTAAGACAACAGCCCTGGGTCGCGCCTGAGACCAAAAACTACTTCAAATAGCCCTCCCCTAATTATATTGGATAATCACATTTATGCATGCGCGCGCAGCTCATCCACTGAACGAAATGCCACTTCCCGCTGAAATCACCGGGTATTGATCTTTCCCTTGGTTAAACGCGATTGAATTTGTCAAGTGAGAGTCTCAGAAGCAAAAATTTCTGTTGAGCATCTGATGACGTCACAGCTTATAATGCTAACAATGGACCCGGGGAGGGGGCTTTCTAAGCCTTTTTGGCCTTCGCAGAGGAAACGGGACAAGAGTCAGTATAGGGTATATAATAAAACAAATAGTGACTGCCTAATTTCGAGCAATAGTGTAAATGATTTCCCCTTGGGAATATCCTCTACAATATACTATTCCCTCAGCCTGCGGCTTCGGGAATAGTACATTGTAGAGGATATTCCCTCGGGGAAATAATTTACACTATTGCCCTCAATGGCAGTCACTATTTGTATACTAGTATTTGAACAAGTTGGTATCAATAATAGCACAAATGACGGTAACAACGTGTAGCAACTTGCTATCCAGGGTTATTAAACTATCTAGAAAAATAATTTGATATTGGATTGATGCTGATTATTTCAATAATGTATTTTTGCCAAAAAAGTATTTTAATTGAATATGGATGATATCCAATAGTCATACCAACGTACGTGGGATAATCAATAACATCGATAAATTATACTGCTATCAATGCTGGCACTTCACATGCTCTCAATTAACTCAATGAATTTGTTTTCTCTAAACTAAAATTACGCAAGCTACACAAGATAACACCCAGCTGTTGCCATGAATGCTAATTTCGTCATCTTAAAATACCATACTAGTACAATTTGTATTTGCCATACTCACCGAGAAGGACCACCGATGTCTCATTTGAGATGATGGTTGTATTGCCTAGTTGGGTAATGGTACTAAGTAACTGGGTTACGCTACTCTCAATCACCGTCCCATTCAACTGTTTGTCTTCAGTTGTTCCATTCACAGTTCCATTTTGACGAAACACAATTTGAAACTCTACAATGATGCTACCTGGTCTAAAATAGTAAGGATGATATTTAAATACAGCACTTAGTGGAGAAAACATTGTTGTCTAGGACTTTTCACCTGTCCAAAACATTTCATTGTTGTGAATCTTTTTAAAGCTACAGAAGATGATTTTTAACAAGATAATACCAAATATGCCAAATCTAAAATACAGTCCATCGCAGTTGTACCTGAATCCATTGATGATTACATATTGCACATCGGAACCGAACAGGCGACACAACTAAAACGAAGAATTACAATTTAAGAACTGCCCTTTAACCTTTCATGTAATTTGTCATTCAGATAAATGCGTTTTTTAATTTAATAACAATTTTAACAATCAATCACAAAATTGCACTACAACAAATGTCAAATTGCTTTTAAATCCTATAGAAGTAAAAAGACACGATGTTTTCAAACATATCTGGTCATGAGAAAGAATTTACGTACTGATTTCTGAGCAAATGTCTCATATTTGCTGTACAGTGGGTCGCCTTGGTTATACAAGTTAGGTGACCATGATTCATCCAACAGACGAAGTTCCCCAACCATGACATAATAGGCCTGTTGGGTGCCATATCCCCAGGATATATTATTAAACTGCAAAGTCGCATGCTTGAACAGCATCTTTTCGTGTGGTTGGATGGTGTCACCTTTGAACTGTGGCCTAATTGGATCGTTGTTCAATATCACGTGACATTCACTTTTCTGTCTCATTGGAGAGGAATGTTTTGTGCTACATTGCTCACAACTCCCGTGACAGTTCCCCCGAGGTATTGATGAATCTTGTAAAACAACATAAATATAAGTCAAGAATTTATACATTCCTATGAGTTATTGTAAACTTCATCAAACAAAATACCTAGAGTAAATCTTTTTATCCCATACTTGGATGTGTTACGGGTTCATAAAGCTGGTTTGTAAAAACTTATATTTTCATCAGCGGGCAGATATAGCTTTACGTCCCTCTCCGAGCGGGCAGATATAGTATATCTGCCCGCTACGTCATAATCGCCGCTCGCATATTTGCTCATAATTTGTAACGTTCGCGTAATGACTGTAAACTACAATGGAGAAGACACAAACAATCGGGATCTGTTTGATGGTTTAAAAAGGGAAAGAGCATCCACTTAATCAATCAAAAATTCGAGAAAATAAATGTGGGAATATTTGAGAGAACAGGAAAATCCGCCCACGGCCAAGAAAACAAAACTGAACATGAATATTCTAAAATATTTCCACGATTGAACAATGTGAACCAGATGACCAAGATTGGTATGGGATAAACATATTATCCTATAGTCGGTTCAGGATATTGGGATTATCCCTTGGCCAATATAATATATTTTCCCTCGGGACCTGCGGCCCTCGGGCAAATATATTATATTTGCCTCGGGATAATCCCAATATCCTGAACCTCATATAGGATAATCTCTATATATCTCATATATAAATTATATATTTATATAAGCCTTATATTGTTTAGCCTTTATATTAAGATGCAAAAATAGGATGAATGAAATTGCGCAAAAACGTTTAAAATAGCATTTATCTATGCTTGACAACAAATCAGTACCCATGATCAGGTCATTGTACACACTCTACGTCTGTACCAACTTGGAACAATTTTAATTTTCTCGATGCCTTAACTCTTATTGAATTATTTTAATCAAATAGAAAATGCACAGTAAATGTCTCAGAAATCAAATTCTTTGGTTGACCATTTTTCAATGCTGGGATACCCTAGGGATGTCCAAAACTGATTGAGACACAACCAGGTGTAAAATGGTAGGTGGTCCTATAAAATTTTGGTCCTACTCTCTATTGATTTATACAGTGACCTAATTACAATTATCTTCCTTATTATTAATATACAGTCAGGGCCAGTAAGGGCCGTAAGGAAAGGAAGCCCATAATCCCCAGGGGACCATAATTTATTTTACACCGGTCCAAAAGGTGGAAACGTACTTTTTAAAGCATCAAAAAATGTAGCGCTAACATTTACAACAGCATGTGCGAGGTTAATTGGTAATTATGAATTGCCTAAGCTAGCAATCGCTGGTATCAACTGTCGGCTGTCGGCTGACGATTCGGCTGCTTCTTGAGTGTAACGTTTATTGTATATGTTGAACTAAATAGAAGAGCAATGGATGATTGGACTCTGTATTGGAACAATCAATTTTATTCTTCTCATTTTCATTCTGTTCTTCCTTGCTTGGCTTAATCAATATTTCCCTAAACGCTTGACATTCATCGGGCGTCCAAACTATGAACCACGTTTTGAAAAGTATTCTCTATGCAATAGATAAACCGAACTGAACCTATTTGTTCCATGAATGAAACACTGGCTTGCTTTTCAATCAACAAATTTCGCAATCGATGTATAAGGTGTTTGACATAACGAAAACTCACTAAAATGTTTTTTTAGTGATAATCATAACCTTGGGTGAAGAATATGGTTGTTAATTAGATTGTACAGACCATATTGTAGACTCCAGTAAGACATTTGGCACAATGGAATGTGTATATACACGCACATTGGGCTCATGCTAACCTAAACCGTATTATTAATGCATAACGCCATATACAGGTGATAGTATAAGATAATCCATCCACGCAACCAATTGTGCTAAACAATGCAAAATACTGGCATTAATTCGCAAACGAAATGAGCAAAATCCCCCTTATTGGCTTGAAAACAACACGTTATTGATAACTGATCAAAAATATAGATATATCTTAACTGTCACATTTCTCACTCCCTGATTTTGTCATACACGCTGACCTACACGTGACTTAAAAGTAACAAGCGTGATAATAACGTCGCTTGCGTTGAATATCATTTTAAGTCATGACTTAGTCCAGTGTAATTTTATTTTTACAGAATGTGCAACATAGAATGTTGAATTAGTCAAGCAGAAGGTATTTAGTGTAACAGATATATTACATTAGAAATGATTGTCATAGTAACCGGAAATCAAGGCACCCGGGGTAAATAAAAAATCTTGCTAGAATAGGAAAGTTGATTGTTCCTCTTCCGTTCATTTTAATATGTTCAGACCACACACAGGGACACACAGGGTGTAATTTTGTTGATATATTTGTATTAGATCATCTTTAATCTGAGCAAAGGATTTTACAAACTTAACATAACTTTTTATAAGTATGAATTTTATTTTTCTAAAGATATCTGCATCTATTGCATTATCTTACGTCATTTCTGATCGTCAAGCTTCGAGTCTCAGAGTCTGGTATCACATCTAATGAAGCATGTCAGCATCCCTTATGGCATCACACAATTCACGATCAAATTCATAAATGTCTTAGCACCTAACACCATATTCAAGTTCACATTTTAGTGTGTTTGATCATTTATGAGAGTTTATTATGTAAACATAAGATTTGGGTTAATAACTCAGATGTGATTAGGTAGTAACCAGTTTCACCACCAGGTGGCTCATTCGAGTCAGATAGCATGGGGAGGTATAGTAGAAAGTTCCCCCATGGGCTTCCAATTAGAGTTTCCCTTAACATGAATATTCATCAGTTTTAGTGGTTCAATTTTCATATATCACCCTTATGTATCTAATAGTTATGCTAATTAGAATATGTCCAGTAAAGGAACATATCTGTCCAATAAAAGAAAAGATATCATAAGTTGATAAACACTTTCTAACAAAATTTCTAGATGGAACTTTACATGTGGATTTCAAATATGATATCACTTTGACTGAATTTTGAATATTTAATGACGTAAATCAAATTATTTCTACTCGCATCTAGTCTATTATTTTTATTTGCCCAAGGTGCATTGATTTCCCGTTACTATGGCAACCATTACTTTTCTAATATCTGTTTAACTAATTATTTTTGCTGGAGTAATAAGCCATTCTATGCTGCACATTCTGTCTTTGGAAAATTCCATAAGAATATGTTGAAAAATAAAGAAATTAGAAAAATATTATGAGAACTTTATGATCACCCCTCGTATACATCACAAGTCAACAAATATTTAATTCTATTTTCGGTGAATATCTGTGCCACTTTTGTCATGTATTGTCATAGGTATAACATCGTATAACATATGCGTATAGCAATTATAGATATGAAAGTGTTACACTGAACGATATTATACTTATGACAATACATACCTTCAGATGATGATATTCAAAAGTCCATTCGGGCATCGTGGAATATCACTTGTGAAAGATACACATGTAAAATTGAATAAAACGGGGAAGTCCAACTCCTTAAAGAATTAACGATATCTGGATTACAAAGGATCACATCCTCTCTCCAAAAAACAAACTTTAAACTGTTGATATCATTGTACATACCTGTGAAGACACATTTGCAGCTGGTAGTGAGGTACAGTGCATACACAAGGATCTGCAGCAACCCCATTTTCTTTATCGCCATACTCGTGCCCCTTTTTCGTTTTACATGGTTACGAATCTCTACGCTAAAATAGTTAAACGAATGTCCAATTGGCATTTTACAAAATTTCTTGCTCTTTTATCGACTAATTGTTTGGATAGGTATCGATATGATGAATTGAATTTGAAAATGTTTTTTTCTCTTAAACCAATTATTGAAAATATTCTGTAAAAACACGGTCCTTGATGTAATATTGACTGATTGACAACAATTTAATGCGAAAAGTATTTATATATATTTCATATTACTGTTTTTATAACATTTTTTTTAGTTTAGTGCAATTATTTTTTGTTCCTTTCTACCAATTCTTGAAAATGAAATAAAATATCTTTCTGAACCTTGTTGGAACAAAAAAGCATATATACAACATTTCCTTGGACCTCTCAATATTATATTTGGTTGATTTAACAAAAGTATTCAAAAAATAAAAAATCCAAAATTGATAAACATTAAGATAAACCTTTTATTTCATTAACAAGATACTTTTTAAATCAACCGAACTTTCCTTTGTACAATTACAATATTGAGAGACCTAAACACGCTGTGTACGTATATGTCATTTTGTTCCAATGAGGTTCGGACAGATGTTTCATTTCATTCCAAACATATGATACCAAGAACAAAAGTAGTGTCTGATGTGTTTTCTAAAACAAAATAGAGAAAAGTACATATAATATTTTTTTTCATTGTTACCAATCAAAGGATGGCCATAAATTGACGATATGTAAAATTTTCAGAATTTGTTGATGACTGGTTTAAGAGAAACGTGTGTTCAAAACGTTCACCATATCGATACCACTCCTTTAAAATCGGTAAATACTCTCGGTGTTCTGCTTTGTTGAGAAATTCCAAAGAATTTATAACTTGCATTAATTCTCTCGCCAATTATGTATATTTTGTTGTTTTGACTTATCGAAGTTTTCTAATATTATTCAATTCGATAAAACTGTTTATTATTAAATGTAATCCATATATTGTAGATACCTACTGACTCAATTGTTGGCCGTTGACTTGCATCAATATGATTTTTAGATTTGATTGACGAAACATTGTAAATAATATAAATCCTCATTAATAACTTACTATTTTAACTAAAACATTCGGCGAAAAGTTTTAACTTGAAGTAATTCGACAGAATATGTAGGAAAAAGTGTAAAAGCATAACATAACTTACTCAGATTTTAGATAAC